AACATCCGCCTCTTTTTCTTCACTAGAAGTGCTGGTTTTGTCTTCGCCCTCATCCCCAAACAATTGAACAATTTCTTCATTGTTCTCATCATCACCCCAACTCCAGTAAGGTTGTTGCTTCTCAATATCAGTCGGCCGGAGAAGTTGCACATCAACCTCCATTTGAAACACATCTAATAAATCAGTGAACTTTTTACTTGTTCCTAATCATAACCTGAGTAATACAAACTGAACTAACCTCAAAGTTTTCATAAACCTGACTCATAACCTCCCGAAAACGGGCCACCGTGTTGCTCCTCCAATGTAATATTCGAGGGATGTGCCTATTGTCTTCATGGAAGACTTCAAAAGCCCAAATCTGTTGACAACAATCAAACATCAAAATCTGTACATGTATTTAAATTAACTAAAACATTGTTGGATATGTGTTCACCTGAAGAGCGAAGCCAAACCCCCTTATGATGTACTCTCTGGCTCTACTGCATTCCATTCTTGTCTGCGCTCTCTTCTTCCCACGTTTGTTGGGCTTTTTTCTGTTTTGGGGCACCTTCACTCGTTGGTAATCAGGAGAAACTGCCCTCAAAAGTGAAGCATTTGTCATCGCATATGACACGGCACCCCATGGATACTTGTCAAACTCTTCTAAGTCTTCGGCCAACTTCAAATAGCGCATGTCAATAAGCACATGCTTTTCAGTACCCAATAGCACAAAAATGGCAAAATAGACCATTCCAAGCTTTAACGCATCGTCATCATCTGTGCACTCGATGAAGGCAGTGTGTAGGTCCAAAAGGGTGGGAGGTTTATTGCTACTGAAGTATTTTCGCTTCAAGGAGCAGTTTTCATTTGTCGCCTTCGGAATGAAAGGGAGCTTTCCGAACCTTAGGCCCGTGATGAGGCAAAAGTGTTGGGCTGTGAATTGTATCAACTTGTTACCCACAATGAATTTTATCCCGTTCACCTGTGTAACTGTCTTAGGATCAGCCTTCCTCATCAACAGCCCGTGGACAACTTGTGAATTCCACTTCAGGTCCTCTATCAGTAATAGATGACCAAAACAACTCCCCTCGAACCTCTGTAACTGCTGCGTATTGAACTTCGCCTTTATTGTTGTAATGGCGGTCCTTGCGTGTGAAAGGGCAAATGGCTTTCCTTCGTACTTCTCATCCTCAGGAATCATAAGCTTTGCTTTACAAGCCATTCTAGAGTTCCCTGCACAACAACATCATACATATGGATCATTGGTTACCCATATTTCATACGTACATTACTCAAACTAATACTTTCAAGTCATTTAATATATGTATATACATATGACAAAACCAGAATTGTTTTGAAGCCTCTTTTCTACTCTCCAACTCTCTCCACACTCTGCTGTTATCTACATTCCCTTCTACAAAATCTATATTCGATTCCATCCAAAAACCAAATACCACCCAAGTGTGAAAACAAGTTCATGAACCACGGATCCACTTCATACAGGGTTTTGGCGAAATGGGTACAACAATTACTCCAAATGCATCAATGCGTACTAAAATCTACTCATTACCATAGTCATATACATGTCTACTCATGGAACATCAGTATTGGCAGTTATGGACTCTGTGTACAAACTAGACACGTCAAAATGTTACTGCAGCTGCAACTGCTAAACATAGCTGGATGAACATGAAATTTCTAAACAGATACTAAAGCCCAAGAAAATACCATTTTCAGACATATATGACAAGCTGCAAGCAAGGACTAACAACAAAATTTAGCAGGTTTTATAGCACAGGGAAAAGAAACATCCCACGCCAACTTACATTAGTATTTCAAATTCACATAATTAACCATTAAGACTGGAAGGGTGCAAAACTATGCTACTAGGTGCTGAAACAGCAATGATACCAACAAATTTACTTATGCATTATTACTCAACAGCTAATTTAGGGCCTAGTGAGGTAAACCTGTGTTATAATGGAATAGCCATTGCCACCAGAATAAATTCCCACACTAAATATGCATCATCAAATGGAAGTGAAAACACGCATCACAAACGAACCAATCCCAGATGACAAATACCAACTTAAGGCACTTCATCGTCCACAGAGCAAAATCAATACACCAATACAAGTTTCATCCAAGCATGAAATAATTCACAGTTAAAATACATTATTATTGCAATCTCTGTAATTACTAAACTTCACAACATCAGTCACAGGTTACTGAAATTATCCTTCTCAAATGAAAACCATACAAATGCACAAACTAGTCAATAACAAATACAAAACCAACCTTAGAATCACTCGTTTTGTGCACAGAACCGAATTGGAAATCCGAGCAACACCTACAGAAAATCGCGATTTTTGTCTCTGACAGGATTGAGCAGGAGGAGGAAGTATGTGAACTAAGTCTGAACCGAAACCAGGATTTAGGGTTTTTTGAGGCCCTGAAGGAGCAGAGGAAAAGAGAAAGACTTCGATTCAAGACATGAAAAGAGAGGGAACTGAGAAATCGTTTAAGGGAGATAACATTTAACGAAGAAACCCTAAACGTCAATAACCGCCTCCCCAAACCCTAACATTGACGGCAGAGAGAGAACGAGAGAGTGCTGCTTAGATTTTGGGGACAGAGGGAGACATAGAGTGGTGGTGGCCGCTGGAGAGAGAAAGCGCCGACAGAGAGGAAGAGACGACCGTCACACAGAGCTGAGAAAGACAGAAGTGTTAGGTCGCCAATCCATGGCCAATAACTCCCCAATAGATATGTTTTATATGGAGGGCACTTCGGTCATTTCACGTCCCCAAGTGATTATATTAGAATACAATTTGTAGCCTGATTATTTCAGCACACTATTTCTGATTTGTGATTACACCAGCTTATTTCCCGTCGCATCACCATTGCTGAAGTTTTAAATTCCTCAAATTGTAGAATTTGTACATTTTCAAATCATAAATTAATAATGATAGGGTAGCAATACCTGACCCACCCTCACCCAGTCTCTCATCTTCGTACCACCTTCCTCACCCTCTCATATTTTACTAGCCGACTGACCACCTCACCCACTCTCATCTTCTGTAGCACACCACCTCCCCCACCATGTAGCCAAACAATAGTTTAATAATGAATTTTTATGTTAATACATATCATAAGTATAGAGAATATTTTTATAGAATATTTCCACATGAAAAGTTGTAGTAGTTTCATGTTGAATTCCAAATGAAATAAACTATACTTTCTTTAAGGGCATTTCAGTAATTAAATATTTTGGAATTCCGTAATATATTTGGGGTCTTGTTCATAATGACTAGTTTCATGTTGAATTTGATATGACTTAATGAGCAAAATAGACATAGACGGGCGAGCTATTTCATAAAGGACAACGACATATAAATTATATCATCACTACTACAAAAAGGAAAAACACGACAGGAATTCACCGTCGTGTATTCTGTTTTCAAATGGTCGTGGAATCCACCGACATCTTTTCCATAACCAAACCACGACGGTGAATAACCGTCGTTGTTAAAACAAAAAACGTCATCAAAAAATAAAAACCGACGTCTTTGTGCTGCAAAAAGACATAAAAAAACAGTCGAGGATGAGAATAGACGACCAACTCCAACAAAAAAAACGTCGTTAAAAAGGAAACAGATGACATATATTAACAGAACATGGCCGCAAGATAAACATACAACGACGAGAACTAAAACTTAACGCCGTTAAATAAATATTTAACGACAAATAAATATGACGTCTTTACAATCATAATAGACGACGTTATTGACACCTACTACGTCACAACATTTCCCACAACCGTCGTAAAATAAATTTTCCACTTCGATTTTTCTATGAATTATGACGTGGAAATAGATGTCAGGGTCATTACTTACGACGCATGTATTTACAGAGACGACGTTGAATGGATAAATAACGTCGGTTCCAAATAAATGAGAGCCGTATTACAGAATTTATACGTCATATTTTGAAAATAAACGACGTGAAAAAAGATGGTGTCATTATTTACGACACAATAATTTATAATGACGACGTTGTAGTCTATATACAACGTCGTTACCATTAAAAAGACCGTCGTCTTTAATAATTTATACGTCTTCATTTAAAAAATTGACGTCGTCTAATTCATATATCTTAACGTCGACAAGTTTAATGGACTTCAAATACCGTCGTAAAATAAATTTTCCACTTCGATTTTTCTATGAATTATGACGTGGAAATAGATGTCAGGTTATTACTTACGACGTATGTATTTACAGAGACGACGTTGAAATGAATAAACAACGTCGGTTTCAAATAAATGAGAGCCGTATTACAGAATTTATACGTCATATTTTGAAAATAAACGACGTGGAAAAAATGATGGGGTCATTAATTACGACACAGTAATTTATAAGGACGACGTTGTCGTCTATATACAACGTCGTTACCATGAAAAGAGCGTCGTGTTTAATAATTTATACGTCTTCATTAAAAAAATTAACGTCGTCTAATTCATAAATCTTAACGTCGACAAATTTAATGGACTTCAAATACCGTCGTGAATTCATCCTTTTCCACTTCGTTTATGAAAGAACATGCGACGTGGTAAATTCATGACGACGTCGTCTTTTGTAACGTTCAGGTTAAAGTTCTCGTCTTTTAGACGTCGGTATTATGGGATTGGAGTCGTGTTATTTTGAATTACATGGCGGTTCTTTATGCTTGTCCGACGTGTTATCCTGGATAACTGTTTCACAATAGCGTCGTGGTTCTTCATTGTTACTTTGCTTTAAGACGTCGGTAAATATATTGCGGTCGTTGAATGCTCCAAAACGTCGTTATTTATTAGAACAGACGTTTGTTTTTCACATTTTTATCAAAACCGTCGTGTTTGTAATCTGGAACCAGTAATTTTTGTACTGATTGTTTTGTGGCCAAAACCTGTATAATGAAAGTGAAGAAATCACATTACAATATATTACAAAATTAATGTCATACACTGCCAATTACATAAAGCATCATTCAACCCATATATCTTCACACCCATCTCGAATATTTTGACTCCCTAACTCAACCACCACTTCATCAAATGTGTCAACATTTGGCATCCCCCTAGTAAATGGCTCACACTCAATTCTCACATCACCTAAGACATCATCACCAATAACATCATTATATTCTCTATTAGGCATTGATAACACTACCGACCAACCACGATGCATCGGGTCGTCAACAAAAAATACTTGTTTGACTTGAGAAGCCAAAACAAATTGGTCATTCCTATGTCCAATTTTACTCAAATCTACAAGGGTAAATCCAAGTTCGTCCACTACAAGACCAGAAGTATTATCAATCCAATCACACCTAAAGACTGGGATTGTAAACTTTTGGTAGTCAAGGTCCCAAATTTCTTGAATGACACCATAGAAACCCATATTTGAGAGAATTGGGTTTTTATCCTTGGCACTAGCAACTTGCATAGTATGTGCAAGTAAATAAACTCCACTATTTTGAGTTGTCCGCACATCATCTTGTGCCTTGATGTTGAATTTAATACCTTTAATGAGATAGCTCCTATATAATGGCACTGCCATGTTTGGACCAGCTGCTAGCCACCTTAAATTTTCTGATACGCCATGATTGTCTTCCTCATTAAGTTCACTTTGAACCTGCAAATTAATCATAACTTAATTCAATCTAACATAGAAGAAGAAAATTAAAAGTCCAATATGTTATTCAATAACATATACCTTGAAGCGTAGCCATTGAATGAAAGTGCTATTGTGCTTATCCTGCAGCCACTTTGTTCTCTTTCTAAATTTTGGATAAGCGGTCTGGATGTGGATCATATGTTGCCTACATGACACACAAAATTCAAGTATTACGGTCCCAAACATATAAGATAAACATAAGAAATAATTTAAAATGGAAACTTAAAGAATAAAACTCATACGTACTCGATATAAGGTAGGACTTCCTCCGTATTCTCCAAGACATATAGATGTGCTTGGTTCAACAGGTCCCGATCAACTACGCTCACTGTGCAACCTGATAATGGCTTTGAAACTCCCATCTTTTGGCTTGAAGGCACTCCAACTGTACTAACATCAGATAAATGCTCGGTACAAAAACTCTACAGCTTCTTCAGCTATATACCGCTCAGCAATGCAACCTTCGGGACGAGTACGATTCTGAACATACCCCTTTAGCACTTTCATATATCTTTCAAACGGATACATCCATCTAAAATATACTGGCCCACATAGACGAACTTCTCTGACAAGATGTATACTAGATGAACCATGATATCAAAGAATGAAGGGGGAAAGTACTTCTCAAGCAAACACAAAGTAACTACTACATCTTCTTCCAACTTATCTAGCTTGGAAACATCAACAGTCTTTGCACATATAGATTGAAGAAGAAGCACAAACGAGTTATTGCATACCTTGCAGGCTTCTCCAAAACAGAACGAATTGCCACAGGGAGCAATTGTTGCATTAAGGTATGACAATCATGTGATTTAAGGCCAAGAAGTCTTGAATCTTGTAAAGATACAAGATTTTTTATATTTGAAGAATAACCTTCAGGGACCTTCATACCATAGAAAGAATTGCAAACCTCTCTCTTCTCTGCTCTTGACAAATTCCAAGGCCCGGGAGGCAAAACGAGTACGTCTTTCTCCATACTCGGGTTGCAAATCAGTTTTGACCCCCATGTTCAATAAATCTAATCGAGCAGCAATCCCATCTTTATTTTTTCCAGGGATCTCCAGCAATGTACCAATGATACTATCGCAAACATTCTTCTCAATGTGCATAACATCTAGGACATGCCTCACAGGAAGGTATTTCCAATACTCGAGATCAAAGAATTTGATTTCTTCTTCCAACAAACTCTGTCACCATCTTCAACCATATGCAGCACTTCTTCTCCGGTTAATGGCTCAGGAGGCGTGCCATATTCAGGTTTCCCATTAAAAGCTGCACGTTGCCTCCTATATGGGATGATTGATTGGTAACCATTTTCTATGCCCAATGTAACAAATTTTGTGGCCATTTTTCAACCTGTGACTAGGTGTATCATCGCCGCATATTGGACAAGCTTTATATCCTTTAACAACACAACCAGATAAGTTTCCATAGGCGGGGAAATCATTAATTGTCCACATTAATGCAGCTCTGAGTGTAAAGTATTCTCCATTATGTGCATCATACACTCCTCCAATCCCATCCCACAAAGATTTTAAATCATCAATCAAAGGCTCCAAGTAGACGTCTATATCATTTCCGGGCTGTTTAGGACCGGAAATCAATAAGGTCAACATCATGAACTTTCGTTTCATGCACAGCCATGGAGGGAGATTATATGTAACTAAGATAACTGGCCAGCAACTATATCTGCTACTTAGAGAACTGTGGGGATTGAATCCATCAGATGAAAGAGCCAATCTCAAGTTTCTCGGCTCATTACCAAACTCGGGCCATTTATCATCAAGAAGTTTCCAAGACGGGGAATCCGCTGGATGAGACATATAACCGTCAATTGATTTTCTAGCAGCATGCCAAGTCAAACTCTTAGCGGTCTCATGTGATCGAAACATCCTTTTAAACCTTGGAATTGGAGGAAAATACCACACCACCTTCGCTGGCACACCCTCTTTCAAGATTGAATCTTTGCCTTCCTTCCACCTTGAGATACCACAATTAGGACAATGAGTTAAATCCTCATACTCCTTCCTATACAAGATGCAATCATTGGGGCATGCGTGCATTTTCTCATAACTCAGCCCCAATGCACACAAAGTCTTTTTTGCCTCATACATAGAGGCCGGTATTGTATTTCCTTCTGGAAGCAAATCGCCTTGAAGTATCAATAATTCTGTAAAACAGACATCACTCATCCCATATTTTGCCTTCAAATTATACAACTTCACTAATGCCGATAACTTCGTGTACTTTCTACAACCAGGGTACAATGGTTGATCTCCATCCCCAATCACATTGGCAAACTCATAAGGATCAGATCCAAAATCACCAAAATCATTATCATCCATCTCTATTTCTTCAGACACAAAACTGTACCTACTATGGTCATCATCTTCTTCAACATTTCTACTAGCATTAGTAGTTGCTTCCCAAGGTTCTCCGTGAAATGTCCAATTCTTATAGCTTTGGTCAACTCCATTAAAGTATAAGTGATCCCTTATAATTCCAACCCCAAACAATTTCAAATTAACACATTTAACACATGGACAACGGATATGTGTGGTAGTTAGAAGATTTTCTACAGAAAAGTTCAAAAATGCTTCCACCCCTAACTCATATGCCTTCGATCTTCTATCCGAGTGCATCCATGACTTATCCATCTCCGACACTATACCCTATTATATATAATAAAGTGAAAAGACAAGCAATGACCATCACTATAGCAGATTATATAAAGTCTAATAGCAAGTAATATACAACAGAGACGACGGTTTTTAAACAAAAACAGACGTATTTGACATATATAGACGACGGATTTTACGTCGTCTAATTATAACCACGACGGTAGTTAAATAACACCGTCGTGTATAAGTAATAAAAACGACGGTTTAAAGTAAAAACCGTCGTCGTATGCCTGAAAACGCGTCGATATCCAGTTTATTTTCAAGATCCCAAAACCCTATTAAGAACACAACATAGACATGAAACCAAGCAAGAAACCAACATATACATGAAACCAACATATACTAAGCATGAAAACAATAAATCCATTCCCAATTCAACATAACAGAGAGTGATTAAAAGATCCGACAAAATGAAATCCATTCCATATTCAACATAACAGAGAGTGATCAAGAAAACATTAAACAGAAAATCCATGAACCCATACCTCCAACAACATTATTAACAGATCGCAAAACATATACCTAAAACCCTTTAACAAAACAACGTAATATATCATTCAATGAATTTACAAGGGGAAGAGAGGGTTTGTACTTACAGGTTGGCAGAGCTCACAGATTATGACCAAATTGGATTTGACACAGCCTGGAGAGCCCAACTTTGAATTAGAGATGAAGTGAGAGAGCGAAATGTTATGTTGCGCGAAATCTGAAAATTTTAGGGTTCAGGGTTAGAAGTATAAAAATAAGAGCCAAATCTGAAAATTTTAGGTCCCGCGAATATTTTAAGAAAGCGCGCTCTTTAAAACATCGACCGAAAAAAACAAGCGTCGTTAAAATTTAACATTAAACATGACGCTTATTACATTAAGGACGTCGTGGTAAAACTATGTACGACGCAAAATCAAAAAAGGCGTTAAAACTATGAAAAACCACGTCGGAGTTAAGTAATTAACGACGTTGTAAATAACAATAAACGACTTACGTGTAAACAAAACGTCGTTTAAAAGAGAAACCACGGCGGATTTTTCACCATACGACGTAAACTCAATATTCCACGACTCAATCACCGTCGTTAAAAGTAATACCCTAAACTTTAAAACCATAAATTATATATTTGTAAAATTTAATTTTATAAAATTGTTTATGGTTTTACATCCTAATAAATAACAAACATAAACCCTAAACCCCAAAAATTATACTTTAACCCATAAACCCTAATAAATAACAACCCTAAACCCCAAACCCTAAACCCTAAACCATCAAACTATATAAGTGATGCTATGACTCATCAAAACAATTTTATTTTGGTTGGTCATTTTAAACTTTTATTACACAAACTGCATTTTTTTGGGGTTTAGGGGGAAGAAAATATATCAATGACTTCATAGGAGTTGAAGTTGAATTTTTTGAATTTATTTTAAATTTATTTTTAAAATTTTGAATTAAAAATAATAAAATATTCTTATATCAACACCAAACCACGACGTTGTAAATAATAATAAACGACTCACATGTAAAAAGGACGTCGTTTAAAAGAGAAACCATGGCGGATGTTTCACCATCTGACGTAAAATACATATTCCACGACCGAATCACCGTCGTTAAAAGGTATTAACCTAAACCCTAATAACGACTTACTTGTTCAAAAGGACGTCGTTTAAAAGCGAAACCATGGCGAAATTTTCATCAAAACGACGTCCCATGTACGTCCCATCACGTCTAAATATCATTTTACGTCGGTTTTTTACATAATTATGTCGTTGGAAAGTTATTACACGTCGGTTACGCAATTTGTTTTTTCTTTTATATTATGAAAACCTCAGCAAATTTTCAGGGAAAAAAAGGATGTATATTATAGACAAAATTTGTACATTATATTATAGACAAAATTAGTACATATAAAAATATCAAGTGTTCCAAAAATCCTCTAATCCATATGAAGGCAAACAAACTCTGCCCATTCTTTCCTGACTTCATCAATGGCTGCTTGGGGGTATGGCGCTTGATCTTTTCCCTTGGCAAACTGCAATCCATAAACAATGATTATTAAGCTTTACAAAATAAAAAGAAATTCAGACACAGACGACGTTTTTTTTTCATAACCGACGTAGTCTATCGATTCAACGACGGTAATTTTAAATGACCGTCGTTGATAATACAAAAAACCACATAAAATGTTTCTGAAAATTTTCTTCTTACCTTCTTCTCAAACTCCAAGGAAGGATCCATGATGATGTCCCTCATGAAGCGCATCACATAATACCCGCATTCGACACTGCTGGGTTGCTTTGGTGTGCCTGGCAGAGTTTTCCAAATTGGTGCTTTACGGCCTGGTCTGCCTATGTGGGAATTATAAATTTTTAAAGCACTGTTCACGATGTTTTTGCCCTCCTCATCAACCACACGATTTCCAGGCAGAGGATCCAGAAAATAGACGGTTTCCCTCTTTGCCCTCACAATCAGCAAGACCCAATGACGGCTGCACAAAAAAAATAAAAAACGACGGTTAATATAAAAAGTCAGCACAGAAAACAAACGACGTTTATTTATAAAAACCGACGTATTATATAGTTTCACACGACGTAATAACTTAATCATCGACGTCATTATAAATTTATCACGACGGTAATTAACTACCGACGTGGTTAGTTGTTTCAAACGACTCAATAAATAAATAACCGACGTGGTTAGATGTTTCAAACGACACAGAATTAGTTAAACAGTTTTATAAGTGTCATTAGTGAAAATCATACAAACAAAATCCTTTTAAGGAGACTAACCCTGGATTGTAAGGCATCATGAAAATCTGTTCACCATCTGTTTTCTGAAGTCGACTGGCTACAATTCGTGATCTGTCAGTTAGTGACCCAGCGTTGGCACTAACTTGAGCAGGGTCGATAAAGCCAACCATGCTGCACATATTTGCTTCTCTCAAAAGATCATATAAGCACCTAAATATATAAAACAAACGACGGTTATTTATACACAAACGACGTATTATACAATTTCACACGACGAACTGAAATAGAAACAGACGTGATAACTAATTTATCACGACGGTAAAAAAGAACGACGTGGTTAGTGGTTTAAAACGACGCAATAATTAAACAACCGACGTCTTATGATATAATGTTTGATATTTGATTAGGACAAACCTCATATATACTGCAACCACAGTAGCCCCAATTTCTTCCATGCCTGCAAACTGTGTAATATCTTCATGCAAGACGAAGGTACTTCGATCTGCACCAAACACCTCCTTCTCAATGTTGAAGGTCATGATCTTCCCCTGTGGCTTTAGTGTAGTTTCCACATAACCACAAAGGGATTGTAAGGAAGATGGCACCTCCACATTTGAATAATCAACTACTTCATTACCCTGTTTAAAGAAATAAAGCAAAATAAAATGACGTGGTAATTCATAAAAACGACGGTTTAAATTAAAAAACGTCGTCTGATTATAATTTAAACGACGGTAATTAAATACCGTCGTTTTAGATAATTTATTACGTCGTAGAAAATAAATTCCGACGTCTAATGTGAAAACAAACGACGGTTTAAAGAAAAATATCGACGTCTGAAATGTGAAAAACAAATTAAAAAGGCAAAGTTATGAGAATATACCTCCTCGTCATGCTTTTCTTCATCTTGTTTTTCTTCTTTCTTCTCTTCATCATTTGTGTCTTCCTTTTTGCCTTCATCTTTTTTCTCTTTTTTTTCTTCCTTCTTCCCTTCATCTTTTTTTTCTCCCATCTTCTGTTCATCTTTATTTTCTTCTTTCTTCTCTTCATCTTGATTATCTAAAGCCCCAGATTTCTGTTTTAAATAATAAAGAAATATATATATAAGACAGATTGTACAGAGAGTAAAAAAATTAAACCAAAACGTCGTGGTAAGGCATAACATAAGACGGTATGTAAGAATTATGGACGTCTTAAAATTATTAAACGATGGTAAATAATAAACGTCGTGGTAATTGTCTATTACGTCGTTAAGGACTAAAACCGTCGTCTAAAAACCACAAAGTACGACGTCTAATGGCGTGTAAAACAAGTAAACTAAATACGACGTGGTATTTAAATAAACACGACGGTTTATTTATAAAATCGTCGTGGTATGGTTTTAAAACGACGGGTTTATTCATAATAACGACGTCTAATGTTTTAAAAAAAAACAGAGAATTCAAAGTTCAGATATGTTACCGTTTCTTCCTGCTGTTCCCCATTTTGGCAGTATCATCCTCTAAATGTAGGGATCTCACTTCAGCCCCAGAACAGCTTGCTTTATCAGACATTGGATTTTGGGACTTTGCTGTAGACCTTGGTTTTGACAGGGGCTAGTTTTCGGTTTAAGCATGCTTGGATCAAAATTGGGGATGAGGTGGGAAAGCTGACTTAGTAAATGTTCCCTCTCAGCCTCTACTAATTGTTTGGTTCTAGCTTCCATCTTCTTAGTCTCTTCTTGAAGGACAATTCTTACACTTTCCTTCAATTGATCGGCAAACTTTACCCTCTGTGGTCTAGGTAAATTGAAGAATTGCCTAGGGGAAATCCCAGCACCTACCCCTCTTACTCTCCCTGGATGCTCGGGACCCAAAGCCAAGGTCAACACATCATTACTGCCAGTTAAACTCAGACTGCCTTCAGCCACTTGTTTTTGCAATTCATCCTAAAACAAAGACATACAAAAAAGTCAGCACAAGAAAACACACGACGGTTATTTATAAACAAACGACGCATTATATAATTTCACACGACGCACCAATATAGAAATCGACGTTATAATATATTTATAACGACGTTAATTAAAACCGACGTGGTTAGTTGTTTAAAACGACGCAATAAATAAACCACCGACGTCTTATGCTGTAATTACAGAAAACAGAGTTGTGATTCCAGATTTAGATCTTTCACGACGTTTTTGAAAACATTTCGACGTAGTAAAACATTAAACGACGAAAAAATTAACCACCGACGTCTTATGCTATAATTACAGAAAACAGAGTTGTGATTCCAGATTTAGATCTTTCACGACGTTTTTTAAAATATTTCGACGTAGTAAAATCATTCACACGACGGAAAAATATAACATAAGACGTAATAAGAATTATACACAGTTTAATAAAAATTTAAAACAGAGTGTGTAGGCTTACAATTAATTTTGCTTTCTCTGCCACCTTTGGATCCGGGATGTTACCATGTTTGTCCTGTCTAGCTTTCTTCCATAAGGTAGATCGATCAATTTCTACCCCAGGCATGGTTTCCTCCAATTGATCCTCCAAACCAGCATATCCTTTTCGAGACAATCGATGATTGTACTCAAGTTTCTCCCTAATCTGTGAATGTTGAGAATGCACAGACTCAAATTCTTTGGATAACCTTGAAGCTACAAAGGCATCCCATTCTGCTTTCTCTATGAATTTATATACTTCAGGGGGTTGGCTTAATTTCTCCCTCTCCTTGATGTATGGAAGGATATAATGCCTCGTCAGTGTAGACTTGAAATCCTTCCATTTCTTGGCAGCAGAAGATAACACCGAGGTCTTGCCCCCTTGACCTACCACAAAAGCCATGTCAACGGCTTCCCAAATCTGCTCCTTTATATCCTTGGGGATTTCAGCCCATTTCTTGTCCACAAGTGGGACTCTGGAGCGTGCCAACACACCAATGTAGGACTGCATCTCAGTATGTGCAGGGCCACATCCTTTCCCCCTTTTATTGTACTCAACAACTGGCTTGATTTTCTGCAATTTTCTCTTCACAACACGAGGCATTGTGCTCATACCTCGACCTGACTTTGAATCCTCAGAAATTGTTGTCGTGCTGCTTGGTTCTGTCTCAGCAGATGAAACAAACTTCATCTTCTTCAAGGGCTTGTCTTGAGGAGTTACCATTCCAAGCTCCTTACCTCCATTTTTTTTGGAGCCAGAGTCCTTACTTTGGTCTTGAGAAACCATGGTTACAGAAAAAACAAACCTGCAAGTGAAAATATTTCGGGAAAAAAATTAGAACACAAACGACGGTTATTTATAAAATACGACGTATGATAAGATTTTACACGACGTAATAACATAACATCAGACGTAATAAATGTTTAAAGAAGAAACAATATAAATGTTTAAACAACGACGAAACAATATTAAATAAGACGTAATAAGAACTTATTACGGCGATATTTACACGACGTCGTGATATTCATATTAACACGACGTAAATATTAATATAACGTCGTGTTATGGATATTCACACGACGTGAATAATAAGCTACCGTCGTATTTATAAGAAACCAAAAACATTTTTCTTTCTCTGTGAATGTTTGATTGCAGGTTTAATTTCTCTGAAACATGGTTTTTGTTTTTCCTAATTTGATAAAATACAAAGAAAAAGAAAGAAAGCTTTGGCATCTTTTTATAGACGACGGTATCTTAGTATAACGTCGTGGTATGAACATTCACACGGCGTCAATAATAAGATACCGTCGTCTATATAAGATACCAAACCCTACTTTCTTTGTCTTTGTATTTTATCAAATTAGGAAAAACGAAAACCATGGTTCAGAGAAATCAAACCTGCAACTAAACAAGCAAATAAAAAATTGACCGTCATTTTAAAAACAACTTAGATCAATTTTAAGACGACGCTAGGACGACTGACGAACCGTCGTGGTCTACATATTTAACCACGTAAATAAGAAGCTACCGTCGTCTTATTTAGTTGAATTAGTTGTGTTCAAAGTTGGAAACTTTCCCTCTCTGTCTGTGTATTTTATCAAACTTGGAAAGAATAAAAATGATTTTCGCCAGAAAAAAGGTAAAAAGATTTTCAAAACAAAAACAGTATGAGCATGCAAAATAGCAACAAAAATAGTGAGAAATGAAAGCTTACCTTTTGCGTGCAATGAAAGCTTTCTCTCGGATTTTGGTGTTTAAGTTCAGAGGCGACGACGAAGACAAGAGGAAGACGATGAGATACTCTGACAGTGCTCTGACAAGGAAAAAAGACGAAAAGTTTTCTCTGGGAGATTGAAATTTTTTCTCGGGTTTGGAAACAGTGCATGTGTAAGTCAGGTAGACGAAAAGTTGTATATGTATACAAACCGTTTCATAGTAATAAGACGGCGGTTTACATAGAACGACGACGTATTAATAGACAAACTACGACGATAATTTGAACTTATGACGTGGTACATAAATACGACAGTAGTGTTGTAGGTACCGCCGTAGTAAACTCCTAAATAAAAGTCGATAACTCAATATCTCGCGTCATGGTAGAAATATTTAACACGACGGTTTTTTTAAATTTACGACGTTTATTTTTATAATATACGTCGTTTTATTGTAATATACCGACGTGGATAACACTAAACTAAAACGACGTATTATTTTTTCACGACGTGGATTCGTTTTTAAACGTCGTTATGTGTAATATAACCGACGTGGATTTTATTTTTTTATTATAAATATAATTTTTTTCCCCTTTTTCTTATAGTTTATTTTTCAAAAACAGTGCCTTATAGATATAGTTTTTTTTCCCGAGGAAATTAATGTTCTAGAATTTGTAAAGTTTCTTTTCTAGGTGACTGATTTAAATCAAATAAAAATATAAAACAACGACTGTTTTTGTTATACCGTCGTCTTTTCTTGTCGTCTTAAGTAAGAATAAAACGACGTAATGTATTTGTTACCGACGAGGATTATTTTTGTTAAACGTCGTTATGTGTAATATAACCGACGTGGATTTGGTTTTTTAATTATAAATAGGGTTTTTTTCACGGGTTCTTTCAGTTTTAGTATTCGATTAGGGTTTCAACTTCTTCTTGCCCCTTTCTCTGTCTCACCTCATCTCTTGGGAGGCAATTGTTTGAATGTTGGTTATCTGTGGCTGATTGCAAATCTGATTGCAAATCACCAATTTTCAATAAATTGTCTCTCTGATTGCAAATCTGTGGCTGCCGTCGTGAAGTTTTAGGAGGCAATTGTTTGGATGTGAATGTGTGTGTGCGTTTGTGTAGATACACAAACGCACATACATCATTCACTTCCAAAAAATTGTCTCTCTGATTGCAAATCTGTGGCTGCCGTCGTGAAATTTTAGGAGGCAATTGTTTGGATGTTGATGTGTGCGTGCGTTTGTGTAGATACACAAACGCACACATATCATCAACTTCCAAAAAATTGTCTCTCTGATTGCAAATCTGAGGCTGCCGTCGTCAAATTTCAGAAGCAATTTTTTGGATGTTAATGTGTATGTGCGTTTGTGTATCTCAAAGACACAAATACACATACATCATTAACCTCTAAAATATTGTCTTTTTGGTAAGATTATGATGAGCAACAGAGTTCCATCTTGTAAGATTTCCTAACCCTTGTGATCTCAGAATAATCTGATTATGTCGGCGTTTTTCTATATAAACCGTCGTGGTTATTTCAATTCTTGTCATTAAGTAGATCTACCGACGTAGGATAACAAAATCCAAGAAATAAATTGTTAAAAAAAATTCTTATTCAGACGACGGTTTAAATATAATGTATGACGTATAAAGTGGACAAATACGACGTTAAATTGTATAATACGTCGTTAAATGAAAACCCCAACTTGGTAAGATTTAAAGATGTTGTCGTAGAAATACGAGAAAGACGTCGTTATATTTACCTTTGCCGTAGTTGTACATTAATTTAATACGGCGGTATTTTGTATTTTACCGCCGTGGATTTATTTGTAATTATACGGCGCCTTATACGAAAACTTGGTCGTGTTAATTTCTGGGTAAAAACGACGGCTTTTTTTGAAACCGTCGTCTTTACTTTCTACGTCGGTCGGTTCATAACTTCCGCCGTTATTTGTTGGCTATGATTTTACCACTTGAAATCCTATTTCAATAAGACGTCGGGTTTTTAATTAAGTACGTCGTGTTTTAGGAACAGCCATTTGAAACTCCATTTTTTAGTTGTCTAATGTGTTATTACACGGCGGTTTTATAAAACCGTCGTCTTTTAAAAAACAACGACGGTTTTCACTTAGACCGTCGTGTTTTTCTGGTCGTCTTTTTCACTTTTTGTAGTAGTCATATAATAGTTGTTTGAGCTTTTTCATGTGATTTTTCAATTTTAAGCCAATTTCAACCATTCAATTATTAGACATGTTTAAAACTTCCAATGATTTTCCGAAATTTTCCAAAAGAATTCCAAAATTTCGAATTTGAATGGATGTTGAAATTCGGAAATTTTTGGAACATAATTGGAAAAGACTTTTCATTTTGAATTTTTTTACAATGGGATTGGAATCCTCTTATTCCGATTTGATCTGTCCGAAAATCAGCCCTAGAGAAACATATCCTTTTCGCTCTCCCTTCCTCTCTTGAAGAGAAGGGGAGGAGAGGTTTAGGGTAAATAAATCTCAATTACAATAGAACTAATAAATTGGTAAGTAACCAAAATCCTAACTAAGTAAGGAACCAAAGTCCTAACTAAGCCTCCATCCCACCATAGTGAGAGTCAATGTCGGCAAGACCGGCAATGTGGACATGTCACTTTTTAATCTTCACTGTGATTGAATGAAGATTATGCTTATAATTCTCATTCGACTATATAAGCCTTCATAAACTGTTTGCTTTTAAAGATTCAAAAAGAGTTATGCCAAAATAAAAAGGGACAATGCCAAGACACAGCAATGTCACAGTTCAAACGATAGAGACCACTCGCTGGTTCACGGGCAGGTTTTCAAACCCTACCATATACGTATTTGAATACGTGAAGTGTGAACAAAACTCTGGTTCAAACTTTTGTTTTGGTCTGAATCTTGTTCAAACTTAAATTCATGGTGAAATGATCACAATTTGAAAAGCAAGAGCAGTATATGTGTTTGTGCAAATAATCTCACGGGAGAATATTTGCTTCTAGATCCTTCAACCTTCGATCTTCCTTCTCTCTCTTCCTCGATTCCTGTAAAACAGATTGGAGTAAATAGACCACACCCGGGGGGTGTTGGCCAAAGGCCCTCCGATGCCTAAGTTAGTTCGAGTGTTTGTAGAAAAACAATAGCTAAGCAAAGGGTACGGAGTAGTGTTTATGTAGGGTGTGAACCGGGCGGCCGAAGCCGTGTGTGGTGGCCGGAGCCGTGTGGAGAAAATATGGAGAGTGGAGAGGGAGAAAGAGCTTCGGGTATTTTTCTCGGGTATAAGGAGTAGGTTTAGATGATGTACCTTGAATGATGAATGAAGTCATCTATTTATAGGAGCCTCGGGGCTAGGGTTTCGTAGAGAATATGCTGAGTTTATTCTCTACCCAAATTCGTAGGGATCGAGTCGGACTGAGATAATATCTGATTTAATGATATTATCTCTTTTTATGGAGATAATATCTGAATTAAATGATATTATCTCTTTTTATGAAGATAATATCTGAGATAATGACATTATCTTCTCTTTATTAGGATAATATCTTAATTAATAATATTATCTTATTAAATAAAGATAATATCATTTAATTAAGATATTTATCCCAATTAATTAATTGGCCAGATAAACTGGTTCAATTAATTAATTAAAAGATATAATCTTCTTTTCCACGTGGCGTGCTGTGATTGGAGACGAAAATATCTGCTCCCACAAATGCCCCCCAGCTTTTGCGTGACACTTGTGTGGCATGTAGGAGATGAAATTATTTTTTTCGGGCTCTCCAACTGAGTCTGTGCTTTCTTATGTGAGTTGGACTCCTTTTGCAGATCGGATTCTCAATTGGTGTAGGCTTCTGATTGTTGTTGGTGTTGGATTCCCAGTAGGAAAGAGCTTCAGATTCCTTCTTGACCCGGGTTGTCCAACTTGTATAAATACAGGGCTTCTCTTCACTCTTTCTTACATCTCAAACTTAACTTCTCTACTTTCTAGCTTGAGAAAGATCTTGGAGAATTTTGTACTGCTTGTCGAAGAGAGTAGTTGTCGTGCATCCCAAAGTAAGTCGAGCACGTAAATTTTTCTTCGTCTTCTCTTTTTCAAGGCGAGGACCAGTTGGGTGGGACCAGGCTGGTTGTCGTCGTGACTGGCGGCCAAAGATTATTGGAGCAGCGGTGGCCGCTGGCGGCTGCTGAGCGACGATCAGGAGGAAGTTGGTGGACTGCCCCCTGCTAAGGATGTCGATAGATGGAAGTAGGATGGTCCGAGCCTTGATGATTTGCCTGCTAGACATGAGGAGTATTTTGCTAAACTCCCCTAAAAGAGGAAGGCTGATGTCAGTCTTCGAGAGCTCAAGCCTGATGAGTTTGGAGATCGTGATATGCTCCGTAAAGTAGTCTGTGTGCGATCTAGCTCACTTGTTGAGCGGCAAAGAGATGCGGATGCTCCTTTTCGAAATTTGAGTCGTTTGTACCAGTCGAAGATTGGAAGTCGATCTGGGGCAGTCTGCTCATCCATCCAACCATCATGTTTCAACTGTTGAGTCACGAGCAGTCAAGCATGGAGTGGATTCATCGTCGCCAATTCCTTTGGAAGTGAGGTTGACAGAGGCTAAGAAAGCAAGAGAGTCATTTGCCTGGGCGAAGGGCTCTTCTGCAACGTCAGCAGTTGATCCCAAGGTGGACAAGTCCACCCTTGCAGAGGATGCAGGCGTGTCTGATCTGCTCAAGACGAACTTTCTGTCAAGTCCATCCACTTGTGCTGAGCTGGTTCATCAAATCCGTCAGGCTGGCGATCTTGGTACTTTCCCAAGTCTTTCCTTGGAAAAACAAAAGGAAGCAACATTTCTTCTCCTTCAAAAAGGAGGTGGGGGCAGACGTGGAGGATCAGGCAGGTGGAGCTGCTGAGAGTGTGGCTGATCAGACGGACGCTGAAGTGGCTGCAGATCAGGGATCTCCTGCTGGCGTCTCGGAGTAGATGAAGACTTCTTTATTTCTTTTCAGCTTTTGTAGTCTGCTTTCTCATTTAGAATAATTGGTCTTGCTTGACCGTCTTCTTTTTGTTGAACTTTGGCCGGTTGGTCACTTTACTAAGGAAATTTCAGTTATTTTTTCAACTTCAATTTTGCATAGTGTCTTGTGAACTGCTTGAGTGTTTCTGGGTTGAGGCATGTTTTGCCTACGTCTAGAGACATGTCGATGAGGGTGGCCCGTTTGGCCTATGTCTAGAGACGTGTCGATGAGGGTGGCCCGTTTTGCCTATGTCCGGAGACGTGTCGATGATAGTGGCCCGTTTGGCTTACGTCTGGAGACGTGTCGATGATAGTGACCCGTTTGGCCTACGTCTAGAGACGTGTCGATGATAGTGACCCGTTTGGCCTAAGTCCGAAGACGTGTCGATGTGTGTGACCCGTTTGGTCTACGTCCGGAGACATGTCAATGATAATGGCCCGTTTGGCCTACGTCTGGGGACGTGTCAATGATAATGGCCCGTTTGGCCTACGTCTGGGGACTTGTCGATGATAGTGGCCCGTTTGGCCTACGTCCGGAGACGTGTCGATGATAGTGGCCCATTTGGCCTACGTCCAGAGACGTGTGGATATGTGTGACCCGTTTGGCCTACGTCCGAAGACGTGTCAATGATAGTGGCCCGTTTGGCCTACGTTCAGAGACGTGTCGATGAGAGTGGCCTGTTTGGCCTACGTCCAGAGACGTGTCGTTGAGAGTGGGCCGTTGGCCTACGTCCGGAAACGTGTCGATTGCTTTTGTGAATACTTCATTGGAAAGAAAAGCTTGAACTTGTATTGATGTCTGTGTGACTACATTGCCTTATTGAACAAAAAAGATGAGTGCATGAGTAACATCAAAAGTAACTTGTCTTCAATGGAGGTGAGGAAGGCTGGGTCGCCTGCTTAGAGCCGAGCTGATAGGTGAAGAGCTTCATGGATAGTACCCTTGGAGGTGATGGGTATTTCATTGTCTTAGAACTTCCTTCCATTGAAAGATGATGAAAGGTTCGTCTTCCACAACTTGGTAGCTAGTGACGGCTTAGGAGACGGAAGTCGCCTGCTTGATCTTTCTCTTTTGCCCCCTGGTGGTCAGTCTGGGCTTTTGGAGTCAGCTAGGATCGTGTTGATCCATATGACCTTTTTCGTGGAGGTTCATCGTTAGCTGCGTCACAATCCTTGATTTGTTGGATAGCCTTCCTTGCGATGAATTCCGTGCAATGGCCGTCTCTGACTAGATCTTCAAGGTGCCTTTTCCAAGCGAAGCAGTCGTTTGTGTAATGACCATGCCCTTCATGGAATGTGCAGTATCTACTGGTATCCTTCTTGGTTGGGTTTCCCTTTAAAGGCGATGGTTTCTTCAACCAAGGCATGTCTTTTACTTGGGCCAAGATCTGGTGTATCGGGATAGTGAACTTGGTGTAGCTCTCCGCTGCTGAAGCACCTTCCTGAAGCTGTGATCTGCGCTTGCCGTTCTCTTGGCTTGCCTGCTCAGCTACTTGATCAGCCTTCTTCGTGGCGATCCGGTCGTCGTCCCATAATGCGTAGCGCTTTGCTATAGCAAAGACTTCTACCAGTGTTTGGCGAGGATAGATGGTCAGCTCGCGATACAGCTCACATTCAGTTGGCAACCCCCTCTTGAAGGCAGAGAACGCAATTTGGTCATCACATCCTACAATATTTGCCCTCTCCGCTTTGAACCTCTTGATGTTGTCTCGCAGGGATTCATTGGACTTCTTGTGCAGGTTGAACAGATGGTCAGGATTCTTCTTGATTGACCGATAAGAAGTGTATTCTTTAGTGTAGACATAAGCAAGCTCCTTGAAGCTGCTGATCGACCCGAATGGCAGGGTGTGGAACCAGTCCTGAGCTGCTCCTTGCAGAGTCATTGCAAACACCTTGCACATTAGCGCATCTTCGGAGGATCATAAGGCTCTTAAAATGCTTCAGATGGCTTTCGGGATCGGAATCGCCTTTGAAGCATGTAAAAGAGGGCGTTGAGAATCGTTTCGGGGGAGCAGCCTGCTCAATTTCGACGGTGAAAGGTGATGAGTTTGCTCGGTCTACCTCAACACATAGTGCATCTTCGAAATTTCCACCAATCTTTAAGTCTTGAAGTCGGTTATTCACAAGCTTCTCAACGTCTTCCGCACACATGGCTAGTCGGTCACGTTGATGACCTTTACGATTTGGGCGAGACCGAGTAACTTCCTCGTTGGTTTGCAAGGGTTGATCTTCTCGGCTGCGCTGCCTAGGCGGCGTGTTGGTGGACCGTGCTTGCGAGGGATTTTCTGTAACTTGGCGATGAGAATTGGTTCTTCGAGAGCGGTTAGTGGAGTGCCTTTCTTCACGGTCCTCATTGTGCGGGTTACCAAGTTGACCTCCTTGGGGGCCTAGCCTTTCGTGAATATTTCTCTGCGAGCGGGTAGCGGAGAGCCTGTCTTCATGATCCTCATTGCGGCGATTGTCAGTTTGACCTCCCTGGGAACCTAGCCTTTCATGAACATTTCCCTGCAGGCCCAGGCGAGCACAAACGTCAAGTCGTGGGCCGAGTCTTTCTCGCACGTTGCTTTGTGTGTGGCTTGCAGATGCTTGTGACATGCCGGCAAGCTGATCACGTTGTTGTCCCTCTCCTTGTTTGCCCATTCCTGCTCGACCTGCTCGGTACCCATTAAGCTGCCTATAGGTGCGTTCATCCATCATTCTCTCTTCGCCCGGTTGTCCAAGGTCAAGGTTTTGAACCAAGTTTATTTGGTGGAGGAGCTACCTCATCAGATTGGTTTGGTTGTCCATCCTCTGAGCTAGCTGGTCAACTCTCATATTAAGATCTGCTTGACTTCGTGGATCGGGAGGAGAGAAGTGTGTGGAACCTAATTGCACATGGGCTAGGGTTTCATTGGATCTGTACGCAGGAGCATGCGTCGAGCGTAGAGGCAATGGAGGGAATGCTTGAAGTTGCTCCAATACCGGGCCTAAGTCAGTGGTGGTAACGAGCCCACCTTGATGGGAGGTTCCACCATGCTCGGTGGCGGTGCCACGGAGGTTGCTAGATCCGACTGCGGGTCTGGTAGGTGGCACGGTGGTGAGAGGTGGTGGTGCCACCATGTCGATCGCGGGATCATGGGTGGAGTGGCTTTGGGTCGTCGCGGATTTAGCCATCGTGGCGGTTTTACTCCTCGTGCGCTTGCTTCCAATCATGGTTGTTTGGAAGGCTTCGGTAGATTGGACAATAGGAGGAACGAATTCCTTGAGCACACGTTGAGTATGACTCGTGCTCTCAATGAAAGCACCAAATGTTTGTGCAAATAATCTCACGGGAGAATATTCGCTTCTAGATCCTTCAACCTTCGATCTTTCTTCTCTCTCTTCCTCGATTCCTGTAAAACAGATTGGAGTAAATAGACCACACCCGGGGGGTGTTGGCCAAAGGCCCTCCGATGCCTAAGTTAGTTCTAGTGTTTGTAGAAAAACAATAGCTAAGCAAAGGGTATGGAGTAGTGTTTATGTAGGGTGTGAACCGGGCGGCCGGAGCCGTGTGTGGTGGCCGGAGCCGTGTGGAGAAAATATGGAGAGTGGAGAGGGAGAAAGAGCTTCGGGTATTTTTCTCGGGTATAAGGAGTAGGTTTAGATGATGTACCTTGAATGATGAATGAAGTCATCTATTTATAGGAGCCTAGGGGCTAGGGTTTCGTAGAGAATATGCTGAGTTTATTCTCTACCCAAATTCGTAGGGATCGAGTCGGACTGAAATAATATCTGATTTAATGATATTATCTCTTTTTATGGAGATAATATCTGAATTAAATGATATTATCTCTTTTTATGAAGATAATATATGAGATAATGACATTATCTTCTCTTTATTAGGATAATATCTTAATTAATGATATTATCTTATTAAATAAAGATAATATCATTTAATTAAGATATTTATCCCAATTAATTAATTGGCCAGATAAACTGGTTCAATTAATTAATTTAAAGAGATAATCTTCTTTTCCACGTGGCATGCTGTGATTGGAGACGAAAATATCTGCTCCCACAATATGCACATGGTAGGACCCCCACTAACCTAATATAAACCCCCACACACACAAGTAGGATGCCTGCACAATATTAAGTACCACTAGGAAACAATAATGTTCACTATTACTACAGCAAAAGTTGCAGTTCGCAATAGCTGTCAACGACTAAAAAAAAACCCTACACGCCGGCATTTTAAACTCAAGGGCTCAATAGTTAAACAACCTCAGTTGGAAGCAAAAACTTCACCAAGATCCTTTGGCCCTCTATAAACGTCAATACGCTTTCTTACAGTCGTAAGTTCCACAAATCCTCGATATCACCTCAAAATAGTGTCAAAACCCTAACCTCAATGCTGCCCATCTCAATTTGATACCTAAATTCTCCCCAAGATCGTTAAGCCCTGAGTGCAAAGGTTTAACTCTAATCTTTTCTTCGAATTGAGAGTTAAGCCCTAATTTCCTTAATGGCACGAGGCACGTTTACAACTTAACAAAAATTTGACACTGGCTAGATTTTGAACAATCATGAACCATTGTCACGACTTTGCTAGAATTAATGACATATATAGGGACAAAAAAGTAATGCAGAAGCTAATAAGTAATTCCTTGCGACGTTAGTTAAGGAAAGAATATATCTTTAGATATTGAAAAAGCACGTGAAAAGTAAGAGTTTGAGCTCACGAGCGTGTATGCGCAAAAGGTTTGAAAATCAGAATTAAGGTAAAAAAGTTAAGGACCAATGGTCATGATACAAATCATCTTTATATCATCTCAAGACAAAATTATTTAACAACAAATCGATTATGTATTATGTGAAGATGACTAATGGTGGCAAGCAATTAAAGGTAAGAAAGAGAAAAGGCAAACAGTTAAAAAATTATAACCCAATAAAGTGAAAAGTATATTTGAAATGAACGATTAGAATGAATATACCATGACGACTTTAAAATGCCACCCACCCCAATTAGCTGATAGGGGACAAGAGGGGGTCCTTTGAAGTATATTTCTACTCTCCACCGGAAGCTCAATGAACGCCATCAAAGAAAAATGATCTAATTTTTTCAGTGACAAGACGTCTGTAGTTATCACTGTTAGGATAAAGTGTCGATTAGCATGATACTTCTCACCTGGTAGGACCGGTGTATTTATTATTTTTGTGTGATTAGGTTATATTGATTTGGTTAATCTTTATTTTGCTTAATTTTGGATTGTTAATTTGCAATTCTTTTATTTATTTTAATAAATGCACTAGCACTGTCGAGGTTTGGGAGAAAAAAAAAGAAAAGGAAAATCTCTAACCTTCTCCACACACTACTTTTTGGCGAAGTCTATATATATTTCAAGTTGATCATTCCAGATATAATAAAGAGTAATAAATAAATCCACATATATATAATAGTGTGTTCCTATTGCTAGTTGAACATAAGAACTCAACAGAGAGGAGAAGACTTTCTTTTGAGCTTTCATCAATGGCAGGTATGTATGCACTACTACGCAAGATATTTTCCTTGATGTGATTCTATGTATGTGTGTATGCCTATAAGGAATTTATGTAATTAGTTTGCATATATAGAAGATAGGTCTCAAACTGAAGCTGAACAACTGAACAAGAGCCCACAAGAGAGGGTAAGAAACCGCTTTCCTGGTCGCCCTAGAACGCTTTTTGAACAAGAACAAGAGTGCCAAGAAGAAAGAACTGAACAAGAGCTCCAACACAACAAAAATGGTAGTGAGACAAAAAATACTGATGAAAGCAACGAGACCTTCAAAATTCTTGAAAATGAAATCATCGCAAATGAAAGCGCAAATGTTGGTATTCACGACACTTACAACGAATATCATGAAGGTGAAGGTGCTGTTGATGTTCATCAAGCAAGGAGGGGTCGAAACCACAACATTGGTGGCAATATCATTTATTCAAACAAAAGCAAGCGTGCAGGGATTAGCAAAGTTGGCAACAAGTACTACAAGAAATCGAGCGTCCCATTTCTTCTTAGTCTTCTTATTCTTCTTGTTCTAGCTTTTATTATTATTATTATATATATATATATATATATATTAATGGTGAGTTAGCAAAACAAAAAATGAAGCAAGCGGCTTGAGTGAAAAAGAAGACACGATCAAGAAGAAAAAAAATAAACAGTTGGCAAAAAATAAATAAACAAATAAATAAGTGGGTCCTAAGAATTTTGTCTTTTTCTTTCTTATGCAAGTGGCTTGTTTGACTAGTCATCTTTTGTGCTTCATGAGGTCTGCTAGCTCATTTGCATTTCTAGCTGGGTCCTAAAGAATTTTGTCTTATTCTCTTTCATTCTTTGGCTGCAAAGTGTCCTTTCCTGACTTAGGAATTTTGGGTAAAATAGCTTACATTGTTTTGGCAGCTATCACTTATAGAGAGAGGCTTTTGAGAGGTTTTTATTTTCCTCTGCATTTTTCCTCTGTGAATGAGCTTTGCATCTATTAAAAATGAGTTTTTCAAATTGATTTTGAAAGCTGCTTTGAAGATTAAATTCTACATCTAGAATAGTTAAACACATACTCATCTAGATATAGGTCAAATTCTTTAATCAATTTCTTCAAGAATGGTTTCTAATCTTTGTAATCAAGAATGGTTTCTAAGCTTGGAGAAGTTGGTTGCACAAAGAGGTAGAGGGAGAGAGAGAGAGAGAGAGAGAGAGAGAGAGAGAGAGAGAGAGAGAGAAGAAGAAGAAGAGGAAAAATAAAAATAAAAAATCAAAAGAGAAAGAGAGACGTAGAGGGAGAGAAGAAAAAAAAGAGAGGGTTGGGATGCGTTTTTTATATTTTGTCAGGTGCACTGCCCAACAAAAGTAATGTTTTTTTCTTTTATTGTGTATGCATTTTTTTAAATATATATAATTATAATTTTATATAATTTATTATTATTTTAATTGCCGTGTCCTAGCTGTGTCCGTGTCCATGCTTTTTGAAATTTTCCGTGTTGCCGTGTCGCATTTTCGTCCGTGCAACATAGCCTCACAGTCATCAACTTCTCTTAGTTCAAACCCCACACCTCAATGTCATTTTCTGCTTTGTTAGTCCAATCGAAACTACAGACCCAGCCAGAGCACACAGTTGGTATGCCTTTCCAATTATTTTCTTCTAATTAATTGTTTAATTTTTTAGTTTATTACCTATGTCAATTTTTCTTGTTCTTTTTCGTTATTTTTATTCTGTGCTTCCACTTTAAACTTAGGGTTTCGGTGTACTTTGTACAAATTTAGGGCTTCGGTGGTCATTGAAAACTTCTAGGGTTTGGGGATTTAGAAGCACAGCATCTAAAGAGAGGGTGAGAGAACAATAGTAACGTCAGCCAGATTCGCATTTAGAGTAGATTCTTCTTAGATTACGTACGTGGTTCGTAGTTGTAGGGCTGTTTTGTTTTGGCTGAGTTGTAATTGACTTCTTTGAATCGAAACTACAGACCCAGAACACACAGTTGGTAAGCCTTTCCAATTTTTCTTTCATTTTTTTTTTAAAAAATTATGCTTTATTGTAGGTTCCACTTTATCAAATTAGGGGTTTGGTGTACAATGAACAAATTAGGGCTTGGGTCTTCATTGAATAAATTTAGTGTTGGGTATTTAGAAGCAGATCATCCAAAAGAGAACAAAGATTTGGTTAAAAAAATTGCTTGAAGATGTCAATTTCATTCTTGTTTATTAATTAAATTGTAAGTAAAATTTTGTCTCGGTTTGATAATTCTTCAAATTTGGAAGATTTCAGCTTAGTTACTCATGGTTTTATTTTTTCATTTGAATGATTGGTTTGTCCATGAATTTGTTAGTCCAAGTCATAAGACTTCTGTTAGTCCTTGTTGAATCTGATTCCTGCTTTGTATGATTTTTGTTATCCGAATATCGTTTCTGATCTTTTAAATTTAAATAGAATTATGATTAAAATTTATCTTGTTTATGTACCTGTTGCCTAATTAAAGCTCCAGCCAGTAATGGAAGAAGAAGACACCAGCAGCAGATATAGTGACACAGATAATGACATTAGAAACCCCAATCACGCAGCTGATGTTGGGATTTTTGAGCTTCCCAACTCAGATGTCAACTGGAGCAACGCCGTCCAAGGCCAAGGTGGTGGAACCAGCCAATCCAATATTTGTATAAATATAATTACCGCAACAAAAGGAGAGTCAGATGTTCGGATTTCAAGCTTTAACAACTTAGTTGTCGACTGCAGCAATGGCGGCCAAGGGCAAGGTAGCCGTGAATTCGAAGGTATCTGTCACAAGATTGAATCTAATGAAATTACTGCAGATAATGGATCCACAAAAGTTGGGTTTGAAAACTTTGGCAACGTCAACTACAAGACTACTAGTAATAAAGATCACGGCAAAGCAGCAGGGGGCTCGAGTTCCGCCCAATGCGAACGTGGCGGTGGAGGAAAGAAACCCAAAGGTGGCGGTCTCAACATTCGTGGCAATCACATTAAAGGAGATAGAGGTCGGAAAGCGTACCGCGACTTCAGCAACTTCGAACGCAACTTGAAGACAACTAATACTGAAGATGGCGGCAGCACCAGCCAAGCCAATATTCACAAAAATAAAATTACAGCACACAATGGAGCCTCATATGTTGGGATGTTCAACTTTCACAACTGCGACATCAATGCCGGCCAAGCTCAAGGTGGCTGTGAAGGAAACGAGGGCTTCCTCAAACACAAAGGTGTCAGTCACAAAATTTGTAAGAATACAATTATAGCAGTTAATTCCGGAAAAGTTGGGATACAGAACTTTGGCAACATCAAATACAACAGCGAGAGTATTTATAAGTGGATTATTGCATTTTTTGGCTTATCATATTAATTCCAGAATTTCTTTAGCCATGTGTGGCTATGAATTGAGATATACCGTGTGAGAATTTGATGTTGCCATTGGACTCCTCCGCATTTGTATAAACTCTTTGTAGTTATTGTAAAACCTATTAGACGGCGTACATGAATAAAACTTTCTTTTCTCCACCACAGGTCTCATTGGGTATTCTGTTTTGTTTGCTGCATGTGTGTGTTTTTGACATGATGCGGATGTGATTTTGTCTGGCAGTTTTAGTTACTTTGTTTGTAAATTTGTATACAAGGAATATTAGGGATCAGTCACCAAAGAATAATCGGAATATTAGGGATTCTTCCAACCCTATGATTCTGAAAAACACAATGGACATTCATGTTTTAATTAGGATATAAAATAAAATTTCATTAAAAGCATTGAAAATATAATTATAAATTCATGTTAAGATGCCATAAGACGATCAAGTGGAGGTTTTTATTCCACTACTAGATTGAAGTCATGCAAAGTGGGCTTTTCCAGCCCGGGATCATTTTTTGTGAGTGTTTTGCGGTAAATTGCAACAACATTACCAAAAGTCAATCACGCAGACCTGTAGGCGTCTTTTTATGTAATAATATTCTTCTCGTCATTGCTTAGAGTTTAATACCTTGTACCGTGGGATATGTTGGGACATTCGTTCTTCTATCATATCCATTTGATGAGTTGGATTATATAGCAGGATATAGTTCGGGGCGAAGAGGGAGCTAGGGCCCTAGGGGATCCTATGCCCTCCTCTCAACTTTCTTGAGACCATTGTTTTCTTAACACAATTACAAATCTTCGTACATCTAACAAAGTACATTTAATTTGAGTCAATATCTTTTGCTAGTATTAATAATAAACAAATAGTGAATGTGATATGTAAAATATTAGAGTATAGTAATCAAATTTTGGACTACTACATTTTACCATTTGCGTGACGAAGAGAATTTCGTTGCGCAAAGTTATTTTAGTCGAACAAATTTTAGCAAATACACTGCGCGGCGGATTATATTCGTTGAGCAGTTCGTGTTGCAACTATTTGCGCGACGATTCTTGTTGCGCGACGAAATTGTCGTCGTCCCACATTTCTTTTTCGCGAGACAAAAGTCTTCTTCGCGCAAGAATAAAATATATTTATTTAAAATTTAGTTTTAAGTTTTTTTATTTTCTAAAAAGTGAATTTGTGCGACAAAAAGAGTTTCGTCGCGTAAAATTAAAATATGTATTATTTAAATTTCATTATACGTTTTTTTTTATTTTGTAAAAAAAAAAATGGTTTTTTTTTGGTAATAAAATGAAATTGCAATAAAAAATGTAATGAAGAGAAAAAAAAATTATATAAAATAATATAAATGTATAGTACAAGAGAAGTGTTTAAAATATAATTATGAAAGTAAAAAACTAATCAAACAATGTTCCAAAATCTACTTGGTCGTTAGGCAGATGCAGTGGCCATGCTCTGGTTGGACGGGCTCGGAGGTTAACGAGGGATCAAAATGCGGGACTAGAATGCCGAACCGCGCGAGGGACTCCAGAAGCACAGACATCTGACCCTAAAGCTTGGCCACCTTTGCTGTCAAAGCAATCACCTGACTGTTGGACTACGACAATGAACGGGGTCTAAGTTCCCTCTGCCAGGCATTCCCCATCCCTCGACAATATGTCCCTGGCCTCCTCCCTAGAGTCTGATCCAACGTCTCCGTCAAGATCTGAAACCCAACATCTTGTGGAGGATACATAGACTTGAGCGGAGTATTGGGATGAAGTTGGGAGGCGAACTCCTAAAGAACCAACTGGCTCCTCTCCACCATCGTCGTCTGTTAAACATAACATAAAATATAAATTAAAACATTCATATCATAACCCTGAAACTTGAATGCGTAAGATAATAATTAAAATTAAAGAATACTTAAATGAAGGGACTCGGCCAACTCATTCCTAGGTCGAACATAAACTTTGCCAAAGATGTCGACCTCCGGGAATTTGGACCCCCCTTGAATTGAACAAGAGAAGAAAAATGTTTGTACGAAAAAAACAAATTAATATTAATGACATATTAAAAATTGAATATAAACTATTTTATTATTACCCGCCACCGTGCGTCCATCTTATGTCCAAATAATGGGACAATTCAAGAATTAATTGGACCGCAGTCATGCTTTACGCATCCATGCAAGAAATCTGTTGGAGGTAAAAACTAGGTGGGTAGTGTTCACCCGTTTTGTGTTTACTCCTATGATGGAAGGGCAAAGTTCCCCACTGCCTTGAGAACCATAGATGGTCAACAAGTCAGCTTTCTTTGGTGTGCGAGCGTGCCACTGCTAGTAATGAACAGTCTAGCAGACTTAGTCTGGAATGGATAACTTGCGCCCCAAGTTACTGATTTCCTTTAAACAAAGCGATTGTGAATTTGGGTGAGGAATATCTCCCAAGTAAGTTCTTTTCTTGCCTCAGACTGGTGAGGACTTTAACAATTTATCTCAGTATAAAGAGGTTGTTCTGGCCAGAATAGTTGATGAAATTTAAGCTGTTTTTGGGCGGAAGTACCTTTTACAAGACTACAAAAATACATGTCGATGCAAAAAGATAAAGAGATAGCTAGATCTCCATTTCTGCCTGGATGGGAGGCTCTGTGATGGGCTGGACTGGGAATGTCTGGGCTGGACTGGATCGTAGACAACTCTGATTGCCCGATTTTCAACTACAAATCGATGCCAAAGGTTGATTCTGGCAGAGCTTTAATGTACCTCAAGCTTTTGCGAAGCTTCCGAGTAGGCAGAACTGCGGTTTCTTCAGTCTGAAAGGGCAGAAGTGGCTGTTCTTGAGGACGTTGGTGAGCTAGAGGCTATTCCGTGAATTTGGCTGGGGTTTTCCATACTTGGAGGAGGCTCAAACTCTGCTTGTGTTGGTTTTTTGCTGAACCAAATTTGTAACGAGAGAAATCTCGTTTTGAATGACTTGCTTCCCTAAGTCTGGATTCTGGGCATTCTGATCTGGGACTGGTTTTTCACTTGAAATTCAAGTGGACTTGTTGGTCGACTCTGAGCTTGTTTATGTGACGGTTCACCTGTGTAGGACCTTTGTTTGGTTGAGTGATGAAATTTTGTTGTAAGATTGATTGTCCTTTGCCCTGTTCACTCCTTCTTGTATTTATAAGAGATGTCTTCTGGAGTAGGGTAATTCTTTTAATAATGGGCGGCAAATCCTTTCAAAAGATCTTCCTTTTTTTAAAAAATGGAAAAGAAAAGAAAGAAAAAGGTTTCCTCAGTTTTTGGTAGATAGGCTTTCAACAGATAGGCAATCACTTCCCTGATTTTCTTGAAAAGGAACCTAATCTCTTTCCCAATTTCAACTGCCCCTCGTGATATTTTGCCGGTGATGGTTAGTTTGACTCCTTTTCTGGACAGCTTCCTACTTTCCTGCTTATCCCTCCCTGAGATTGTAACTTGCTTATCTCCTTGGGAGAATTACCTTCTGAAAAGACAGGGGAAAAAAATCTCTGAGTATGTATATATATATATCATGTATGTGTAAGAGGGATTTGATCTTTAGCTTTTCCAGAATCAATCTTGATATTATGAACCCTTTAATTACTTCTTCTGTGACAGTTGCCATTGCTGACTTTTCTTTTTTCAGAGAGGTCACGTGGGATTGTTCCTACTTCTGGGCTTTCTTCTTTCTTTTATATTGGGCCTGTGAGGCTCAGATTTGATGAGTTTTTGGGCTGGTCTCCTCTGGCTTTTGGGCTTCCATCTTTCTTTGATTTTTTGCAGCTTCATTCTGGGCCTAAATTTTGCTGGGCTGGGTATGCCAATTTGTGGCCCAAACAATGCCCCCTTAAGTCTGAATCGTTTTGAAACGGGTTTCAGACTTAAATGACATGGCCATTAAATTGGCGCGTGGTAAATTCCTTCATTTATCCCACGTCTGCCACGCTTCCCCACTAAGCTAGTGCTCGTGTGGCGCAGTTCTTCAGTTACTAGCCCTTTATTAGCTTAGTCACTATCAGATTGACGCTTTGTCTTCTCCACGTCGCTGTCATCTCTTTCCCACGTTTTCTGGCTTCTTTAAAAGTCTTTCGAAAACCACTGTTCCTGTTCACCTGAAAACCTAGTATTTTCAAACTTGATTCCTTTCGTGTTTTCGAAAAACTTCCTTTTGCTTGATCCTGCCTTGCCCTTCCTGTGAACCCCCTTTTAGAAAAAATAACTTTCCAAGAGATGTCTTCCCCGAAATCCCGTGCTCAGTCTTCCTCTGTTCCAGTTCTTCCAGACTATGTTACTGGGGCTGGAATCGATAGTCATGCGATAGAGGTTAGGAGCAAGCTCCATCCTTTTGCCCAGAAAAACCTGGATGAAAATGTCCTCCATTTATTTGAAAACACCTTGGTGCTGGGGCCTCACTGGTTTGGCCCCGTTCCTCCCGAGATGGCGGAGTTGATGAAGAAGGATGCTGAGGCCCCGCTATGTTTCGAGAGCTCTTCTGCCCTGGCTTCTCATTCTTGGGTCAGCAAGAATTTGAGTCGTTCGTTCCCATCCAGTGAAGTGAGAAATAGTCCAATCAAGTGGGCTGATTGGATTGACAGACTTCTTCCTCGATTTGGGGGCTCACTGGAAGCGGGCTGGAATCTATGACGCCATTCTCCTATCCAGGCAATCTATCAACAGGGATGAGAATCTGCTTGCTGCTGCTTTGTGCTTCTGGAACTCTGCCAGTAACACTTTTGATTTCCGTATAGGCCCCATGGCTCCCACTCTGCTGGATATGGCCCAGATTTTTGGTTTTAGGCCTCACGGAAGACCTGTTGATGCCATTGGTGATTATCACAGGAAGAAGGACCAGCAGAAGCTAGCCAAGCCATTCACTATTTCCCCAGCCTTGATCAACCAGAATTGCTCCTTCTCCAACTATCTCAGAAAATTTAGTGCTGAGAAGGACAAAGATCAGCAGCATATGTTGTTTCTCCTGTATTGGCTGAACAGGTTTATTCTGCCCAATCGTTCTTCTGCAGTTCTGCTTGAGTACAGACATCTGGCAGAAGCTCTGCATAATCACACTGATGTTGGCCTTGGACCTACAGTTCTGGCCCATCTGTTCAAGAACCTGCATACCGCTACTCTGGAGTATCCGCTGAATCTGTCTGCTCCTGGTGCCTTCGGGATGATTCAGATCTGGCTGCAGGTCTATTTTCCTGAGTTAAGGTATCCAGACATAGTTCTGCCTGAGAACCAGGTTCTGGCTCAACCGTTGCTGTCAGCAGAAGTCCCCAAGCGGTCAATTGGTGAATACCTGATGATGTTCAGGCATTGTACCAAGAGGTCTGCAGCGCAGTGGCAGATGGTGATTAGGAGGACCTATCCTTGGTTTCAGCCTGGACATCGTCTGTTTGAGAAAGAGCCAGAAGAAGAATCCGCCAGAACTGATTTCAGGAAGAAGTTCCTGAGTGTGACCTTACCCAGGGATCTGCCTCATGGAGGGGGAAAGCCTCCAAATTATCATTTGGGGGCGGAAGTCTACCATCCCAACTTCTGTGCAAGGCAGCTTGGCTGTCCTCAGCTCATACCCCTCAAGTCATACAGAAGCTGCAATCGGGGTTCTTCTTGGAGGGATGCAGATGACTTGGAGGTCCACAAAGACGCCAGGTGTGCCGTGAACAAGATTAACAACAGTGCAGATGCCCTTTATCCTTCCTGGGAATTGAACTCCTGCAGTTCTGTGGAGTTTGATGCTTGGTGGAAAGCCAGATTCCGTGATCTGCCTGCTTCTAGCACCGCACTTCAAGTCCTTTTTAAAGGGCTGGGACAATTGGAATGTCCATTCAGACGACGAGACTCACAGATTCATGGTGCAGACCATCAAAGACATCAACATGCAAATTATAGAAGGTAATCTCTCTATTCTGTCTGTTGTTGCCTATTCTGTGTTTTAGTGATGATGCTAATCCTTTCTATCTGTACTCAGATCCTTCTCTGACAAAGAATATAGGCAGCCAACCAGCCCAAAGCGGAGAGGTGTTGGTAAGTTGTGTTTTTTGTCCAGTCTTTGGCTACTCTCTACTGGATTGACCTTTGACTTTTGTCTTCTGCATAGTCAATTCTGTCATTGCTGCTGGAGATCTGGAGTTGCCCTCCGGGGATGGAGAGGAGGAAGAAGAAGAAGAAGAGGGAGATCAGGCAGAACAGACTCCTGTTGAGGCCACTTCTCCCGTCAAAAGAAAAAGAAAAGAAACTGCCCAGTCTGCGGCTCCAGGTATTCTTTGATGATTTCTCCCCTTTTTTTTTGATTTCTTCATAATCTTGTTCTGTCTTCATTTTTAAGACTTATTCTGTCTGTTTGCAGTTGGAGGTCCCTCTCCTCCTCTTACTAAGTCAAAAAGACTTAGAAAGAAGATTGCAGAAGAATACGTGGCCCCGGAGGGAACTGGGGCAGTTCCTACCACCACTTCCGGCACGGATGATGATCTGAGAGAGGCTTTCGAAGCTGTGGAGCAAGAAAGGGAGCTGGAAGAGCTGGAAAAGGTAGGAGAGGAGCCCCAGGAGAAGGCCAAGTCAGTGGAGGAGGAGGTGAGTCTGTATTTATATCTGGGAGCATTTGTTCCTGCTGCACCTTGATCTATTCTGTTCTGACTTCCGTGCATTCTGTAGGAGGAAATTCCTGCTGAGGTGATAGCGGAGAGCATTGCCTTGGCTCGGAAGCAGCAGGAAGATATAGGGGCAGGGCTGACCAACTCAGAGGTGGCCCTTTTTGATGATCCAGAGGCAGAACATTCCACTGCCGCTCCAGCAGCTGAGGACCAAGTGGAACAATCCGGATCGGAGCCTGGGGATCAGGCAGAACAAGTGGTTCCTACTCCTGAAATTGTAGCAGGAGTGGCTGCTGCCGTTCCTGGGTTTATGGTGAGTTCTGTCCTTATTCTGTCGTTTCTCATTTCGTTCTGTCCCTTGGTCCCTTCTGACCCTCGATCTTTACAGGTGGAAGCACAAAGAACTGCTGGGACTTTGGCGGTGAGGACCACCCCCTTGCAGCCTCCGATTGTTGCAGTGAGTGTTTTTTTGCAGTTCTATCTTCTTCTTTTGTCTCTGCCCTGTTCTTGACCTTATGCTTCCTTCTGCAGATGCCTATTCATTCTCTTGCAGGTTCATCTGCCACGGCTTCTTTTGCTGACCCGGAGCTGGCAGAATTTGAAGCCATGGACCTAGATGCCCAGCTGGATAGGTTGGAAAAGCTCAGCTCTCCTGTTGGTAAGACAAAGTCCAGGGCAGTGGAAGAAGCAATGGAGAGACTGAAGATCTGGCAGTCTGCTGAATTGGAGCTGGATGAGGATAGAGAGGCCTTTGATCAGTTGATGAAGGATCTGGATCTGCTGCATAGACAGAACATGGCCCCAAGACCCATTCTTGAGATGAGTCTTGTCTTGGCAAGGGACGTGCTCAACCTTCACGATCGTTATGAAGACCTGAAGCCTACCTTCGAAACCTCTGAGTTCTGCAAGGCCACTCATGAAGCCAACTTGGCTGATTTTGCAAAGCAGAAGGCAGAACTGGACCAGATGGTTGCGGGGTATAAAGAAGCCAAAGCTGCTGGGGATAAATTGGAAAAAGAGATTGCAGAACTTCAAAAGCAGCTGGCAGAGCGTCGGGAAGTGCAACACAGGCTCGGGGCTGGATTGAGTTCTAAGACCAAGGCTACTTTCCTTGTGCAGAACATGGTTGCAGCTTCTAGGCCTGCCCTGGAGATTGCAGAAGCTTCAATTCATCAGGGTGTGCTGCTCCAAAAGGAACTTTCTACCAAGAAGACTAACCTGCAGGAGACTCTTAGAAAACTAGGATTTTAATTTCGTTATTTTCGCTTTTCTGAACAGCTTGCCGTGGGGAAGGCCCCATGGTTTATTTATTTTTAAATAAAGTTCATTTTATTTCTATTGATGGATCGAATGGAAAACAGAAGTAGGAATACAACAAAGGGATAGACTTAAAGGTAAAAACAAGGGTAACTTTCAAAAGATTTTTTAGTTAAACTCCTGTGTCTATCCCCGGGTCTGTTTGTACAGCCTGTGAATCCCACATGGTTGGATAAAACTTTTTTAACCATTTGCCATTGATCGGGGCCGTATGAACTTCTCCATCCCTATCCTGCAACCTATATGCCCCCATTCCAAGGATCTGGCTGATTATGAAAGGGACCTTCCCATGTAGGTGACCATTTTCCATAACCAGCCACATGTGTTCCAAGGGGCAGAACTGCTTTCCAGACTATCTCCCCTTCTTCAAAACTCTTGTTCCTGACTCTTTGTTGTAGGCCCTTGATACAGCCTGTTTTCCTGCCAGGAGTTTGTTGAGAGTGTCAATTCTGGCTGCATCCAATCCTTCCAGTTCCAGCAGCATGGCCTGGGAGTAGTCTTCTCCTACTAAGTCATGTTGGTGAGCAATTCTGAGGGACTGAACAGCTATCTCCATAGGCAGAATTGCATCATGACCGTAGGTTAACGCGTAGGGAGTCATGCCAGTCGCTTCTCTCTTTGAAGTTCTATATGCCCACAGAGTTTCTGACAGCTTCTCATGCCACTGTTTTGGATTCTTTTCAAGCATTTTCCTGATAATGTTGATGATTACTTTGTTGCTTGATTCCGCCTGTCCATTGGCTTGGGCATAATAAGGAGTGGATTGGAGCAGTCTGAATTTGAATGCCTCTGCCATGTCCAGCATTTCTCTAGATATGAAAGATGATCCTCTATCAGTTGTGATTGATTCTGGGATGCCAAATCTTTGGATAATCTGTTCTTCTATGAAAATGATGATCTCTTGAGATGTAGTGGATTTAACAGCCTTGGCCTCCACCCACTTGGTGAAGTAGTCTGTGGCAACAATGATAAAGCAGTGCTGCTGGCTGCTGGCTGGATAGATCTTGCCAATAAGATCCATTGCCCATCCTCTAAAGGGCCATGGTTTTACCACTGGATTCATGGGAACTGATGGAGCCTGCTGGACTGGGCCGTGTCTTTGACAAGATTCACACCCCTTGGAATAGTTAATGCAATCTTTCATCATGGTTGGCCAGAAGTAGCCATATCTCCTAATTAACCAGCACATTTTTCTTCCACCTTGATGTGCTCCACAGATTCCTTCATGGGTTTCCCCCATAACTTTCATGTATTCTTTCTTCCCGAGGCACCTTAAAAGCACCTCATCCTTACTCTTTCGGACCAAATCTTCATTCCACATAAGGTAGTTTAAAGCCATGATTCTGACTTTCTTCTCAGAGGGCAAAGTTGGATATCGCAGATAGGTCATGATAGGATTCCTCCAATCATCTTCAGCGATTGTGGCAGAGTTGACATCTATCTCCATCCCCCTGGCCAGAACCGATGGTAAGCTTTTCTTTCCTATCTTGATGATTCTTTGTACACAATCTTCGGGTATTTGTATGCCTGTTGCCACCTGGGCCAATTCATTGGCTGCAAAATTCTCTTCTCTTGGGATATGTTCCCAAGTGGCCTCTCTGAATTCCGTCAGAAGATTTCCTAGCTGCCACCAAGTAGACAGCCAGAGAAGGGCTTAGGCACTTGTATTCCCCAGCAATTTGCTTTAGAACCAGCATGGAGTCTCCCAGGATTTCCACAGACTGGATTCCTAATTCTACCAGCATTTCCAAGCCAATGATTAAGGCTTCATATTCTGCCCTATTGTTGGTGCATTGGAAATCTAATTGGAAAGAGTAGCAGTGTCTGATTCCAAGTGGCTCTTCCAAAACAATTCCTGCCCCGGAAGTTATATCAGTTTTTGATCCATCAAAGTATAGCTTCCAAGGTGTAAGATGAACTGAGTAGATAGGATTGTTGAGGCAGGTGTGAGCTCTGGTTAATAGATCTGCATTTGCTATGTCTAAAGAGTCCATATTTTCAATCTCCTCTCCGGGATGATCTGCTAGGAAGTCTGCCACAGCTTGTCCTTTGACGGCTTTCTGAGGAACATATCTGAAGGCAAATTCTGTCAAGGCCAAGGTCCATTTTCCAATTCTGCCTCTCAGCATTGGTCTTGTCAGCATGTATTTGATCAGATCTGTTTTGGCAATGATATAGATGGTGTATGGTAGCATGTAATGTCTGAGCTTTACAGCAGTGAAGTACAAGGGCTAGGCAAAGTCTCTCAATTGCAGAATATTTCCTTTCCACTTCTGTCAGAGTTCTGCTTAGGTAGTAAACCGCCTGTTCCTTTCCTTCCTTGTTATCCTGAACCAATAAACTTCCAATGGATACTTCTGATGCAGATATATAGAGCTTGAGTGGCCTGCCTCTCTTTGGCGGGGACAGAACTGGTGGATTTGAGAGGTAATGCTTGATTTCCTCAAAAGCTTGCTGGTGTTGTTCTTCCCACTTAAAGGTTTGTTCCTGTTTCAACCTTAACAAAGAAGAGAAAGGCTGGATCTTTCCTGCAGAATTGGATATAAATCTCCTTAAAAAATTAATTTTTCCTAAGAGACTTTGCAATTCTTTCTTGTTCCTAGGCGGTAAAGCTTCTATGATGGATTTTGCTTTGTTCTTGTCGATCTCTATGCCTCTTTGGTGGACCAAAGAATCCTAGGAAATTTCCCGCTTGAACTCCAAAAACGCACTTCTTTGGGTTCATTTTTCAGTTTATGTTGCCTCATTCTGAGGAATGCTCTTCTTAGATTTGTCATGTGGTTTCCCTCCTCTGGTGATTTGATCACAACATCATCAATATACACTTCCAAGGAATGCCCTATCATATCGTGGAAAACAGAATTCATTGCCCTTTGATAGGTAGCCCCTGCATTTCTCAAGCCAAAAGGCATTACAGTGTATTCAAAAGCACCTATATGCCCTGGACACATGAAGGCTGTCTTGTGGATGTCTTCTTCTGCCATCATGATCTGATTGTAACCTGCGTTGCCATCCATAAAAGATAGCATCTGGTTGTGGGCAGCTCCATCTACTAGCATGTCTGCCATTGGCATAGGGTATTCATCCTTGGGAGAGGCTTCATTCAGGTTTCTGTAATCCACGCAGATTCTGACTGCCCCAGTTTTCCTTTTTAGAACTGGTACAATGTTAGCTAGCCAATCAGCATAGATGGCAGGCCTGATGAATCCTGCTTTGAGCAGCCTTTCTATTTCTTCTTTGACTTTCAGTTCTGTGTCCATGGACATTCTTCTTCTGGCCTGTTTGACTGGAAGGTATCCCTCTTTGATTGGTAGCTTGTGTTCTACCAATTCCCTGTCTAATCCTGGCATCTCGTGATAATGCCAAGCAAAACAGTCTTTGAACTCTTGTAGAAGTGCAACGAGTTCATTCTTAAGTGGTTCTTTTAATAGTGCGCTGATGAAGGTTGGCCTTGGATCCTCCTCTGTTCCCAAATTTATTTCCTGCAAAGGATCTTCTACCTCTGGCAGAGAGTCATCCAATGCGGCTGGTGCGAAATCTAGCACTTCCTCCTGTAGTTCCTCTTCCTCCTGGCTTTCCGTACTTTCATGAGTGAATTCTGCCATATTGATGGCTGGATTCTGTGCAAACAACTTCTTTCCTCCCAGTATATCAACAATCTTTTTGTAATGGACCGGATTGTTGCAGCTCGATCCTTTTCTTGTTGATTGGGACTAAACATCAGTGCTTTGGAAATTTAGAACAAAAGGTCTGTTCCAATCCTCCAAAGAATTGGTTAGACCTTCTTCAATGAGTCTCTGGGCCGTGACACCATGGGGGCGGCCGTTCTGGTTGACTCCAAAGAAAGTGAAAGGACCAAGGTCATCATGATAGTACCTTGCCTCACAACACATGGCAGAAGGTAGGAATGGCCGTGGATCGGCCTCTACTATCTCCATGTAGCCATCTTCGTTCCATAAAGCTAACTGTTGATGAAGAGTGGAAGGGAACACACAGACTCTGATGAATCCAATCTCTGCCAAGCAATGCATTGTAAGTGGTGGAGGTAGTATCTACCACAAAGAATGCAACCTTCAGCTTCTTGCTTCCTACCAAGACATCTACATCCAGAATCCCAAGGGTTTTGGTGATGCCCCCTGCGAAGTTGGTGACGGTCAGGCGGGTTGGGATTAAATCCTTTTCTGTTCTGCCCATTTTGCTCAGCATTCTGTGAGGCAGAAGGTTGATGGCTGCACCTCCATCTACCATGGTTTTGGGGATAGGAACACCCCCAAAGTTTGCTGTTATAAACAAGGGTCTGAGGTGGTTTGCCATTTCTTTGGTTGGTTTGGAGAAGCAAAGCGGACCTGTTGCCAGCTTGTGGGTTGCTCCTTCTATCCTGGGATTGCCTGTTTGCTGTTCTGGCATTTCTTCCGTTTCTGCCAACCTGCATTCAAAACTTTCTTGGGAAAATACGTCTCCGTCCAGAGTGCTCTTCTGTCCTTCTACCGCCCAGAACTTTTCTGGCAGAATGAACACCATATTGATGCCTAGGTCAGCACGTAACAAGTCCTCCAATTCTGCACCAAAGGCCTCAGTTTCCGCATCCAACTCTCCGTCATAATCCATCTGTTCTCCATCATATTCCTCCGTCCATTCTCCCAGTTCTTCTGTCCCGAGGAGCGTATTCTGGTCATCTGTAGATGGCTCATAATCCAGCTGCTCCTCTTCATCTTCCTCAACCCAGTCTTCTTGTCCTTCTCCTGGAACAGGATCGGTTCTTTCCTCTAGTTGGGGAGTTTCAAGTAGACCTCTTGAGGCGGAGGCAGGATGGATAGAAGGTTTCTCTGAGGATTCTGCTTTTGTCAACTTCTGTAGTGAGAGATTGCTTGTTCTGTCTGGGGAAGTATTTCTGGTCCTTTCCCTTTTTTGGCAGAATTGGCCTTTGGAAGCACCTGTGCGTTTTTCTCGTCGTTGAGGAATGTGCAATACTGTCTCTGAACCCTCCTCCTTTGGGTTCTTGTCAGCTCCATTGTTGGTCTGCCATTCCTCCCGACAGAATACCACCTGCCTTCAATGATGGCCGCCAAAGGTTTGTCACTTCCGGGTACTTTTATTGATGTTTCCTCCTTGGGCTGCTTAGTCACTCTTCTGTTGGATTGGACAGGCCTAGGGTAATTTCTCTGTCTGACCCTATCATGGGGCGTGGTTCCGATCCGGTCAAAAACACTTGGAGTGGGCAGCTCCTGTTTTTCCAGGACTACTTCCAACTCAGCCTCACAATTGCACCTGCTGCAGAGCACTATTCCAGCTGAAATGGTTGCTTTTGGTCTTTCCATAGTCTCCTTTGAAACTATTCTGCTTCCACTGGAGCCAGCCTGCATGGCTGGTCTGTCCTTCTTCCGTTCTGGCCAATTTAGGTTGACCATGTTAACTTGTGGCTGGGGAAAAGGATCTGTGGTGACAGATGGAGGTTTCTCTGCTAGCTTCAGCCTTCCTGCTGTTATCCCTTCCTGTATGACATCTCTGAAAACAACACAACTATTGGTAGAATGATTCCAAGAATTGTGCCATCTGCAATACTGCCTGCCCTTGAGTTCTTCTGGCTTGGGCATTCTGTGAGGTGTCTCTATTGCTTTCTGTAGCAACATTTCATCAAACAAGGCATCTACTTTGGTCAGATCGAAGGAATACACTTTGTTCTGCATGGGTTTGTTTGGAACAAACCCTCCTGTGAATGGTGGCGGCTTCTGATCCCTTGGGGTTTTGTAAGAGTTTTACAACTGATGGGATGCTTTAATTTTGCCATTTCCGCAACTGCAACCTCTCTCTCCTCTGATTCCTCCGCATCTTCTTCTGACTCTACTTCAATCATATGTATTGAGGAGGAAGGGGATTTATAATACGTGCCTTTGGAAGAGTTTCTCTTCTGCTGTTCCTCTCTGAGCAATTCCTCGTACTTGGCCGCTTTATCTGCCAGTTCTGCCAGATCTCCAAACAGCATCCCATCAAATCTTTTTCTCAGAGAGATTTTGAGGGCAGCCTGAGCCATTTGGATGAAGTGTCTTTCTTCGATGGGGATTCGGCACTTCATTTTGAGCTTCCTGAACCTGTTTATAAAGTCTTGGGCAGGTTCATCTTCACTCTGTTTGAGAGCTGCAAGGTCACTGATGGTGACTTCTGGCTGGATCCTGTAATAGTAATCATGGAAGACGCTCTCCATTTGCTCCCATGTCTGGATAGAATTTGCTGGCAGATTGGTGTACCAAGTGAAAGCTTGTCCAGAGAGAGAATTCCCAAAAAGCCTTAGCTTTAGCAGTGGGTTATTCTCTATGGCTATGCATTGGGTAGAAAATCTGCCTACGTGCTCAACTGATGAAGCATGAGGATCCTCTCCGTTGAATAAAGTGAAGTTTGGTACTTTAAAGCCTGGGGACAAGGGTATCTGATCAATGTAAGGTGGATATGGCTTCCTATAGGTGGGCCTTTCCCCCCTCCTGGCCTCAGGCTCCATCATTTCCCTGATCATCCTCTGCAATGCCCCCACGTCATTTAGAGCATTAACAGGGAGGAGGTTTTGTCCCTGTTCTGGCTGGGCATGATTGAATCGTGGTTCTGCCCTATATGGTCTAGGCAGAACTTCTTCCCTGTGCTCCTCCGGCTCCTCCAGGCCTGGGTGGTTCCTCCAGTTTGCCCCCTGCCTGTTCCTGTCGTTATTAGCATAAGGGTAATTTCCCCCTCTGCCTCTCCTTCCTCTTGCAGGTGGAGGGAATGGATTGGGGTCCATCCTTCTGGGCCTGTAGGGTAACACTGCTGGCTGTTCAGGCAGAATTTCCATAGGGTGATCTTGTGGGGCCGCTTGTTGCGGAGCAGGCTGAGGCTCTTGCTGATTCTGTGGAACTTGTCCTGGCGCAGGACCTTCTGGCCGTATTGGGGCCAGACGTTCTTGGATAGGAAAAGCCACTTCCCCGTGTCCAGCCTGGATTCCCCCCGTTCTGGTATCCCAGCTATCTGTGCAACAAGAGGATTCTCTTGATATGGCCACGCCAATCCTGGTGGGGGACCATAGGGAAGGTCTAGTTGCTGGACCACCTCATCGGGATTGGGGATTCTGGCCATGGCAGCCTCTCGATCCTTCCTGAATTGCCTGTTGACCTGCCATTGCATCATGGCTGTCATATTGTTTAGAGTATCCTGGCTCCTTTGTGTTGTGACCTCTTGTCGTAACACAGATTCCTGTATCAGGTTCATCCTTCTGGAACCGGTCCTGGACCTCCTACTCCCTGTGCTGCCATGTGCTGAATGCCGGGCATCACTTTCTTCTGATTCCAGTCCTTCCCTGAGGGCCACTTGGTTTATTTCCATGCCGTGGTGTGGGTTCTGGCTAGAGCTTCCGGTATTCATGAACTGGTGAAGAACTCAATGAGAATATGTATACTGAGAAGTCCCACTGGGCGTGCCAAATTGTTCACCCGTTTTGTGTTTACTCCTATGATGGAAGGGCAAAGTTCCCCACTGCCTTGAGAACCATAGACTGGTCCACAAGTCAGCTTTCTTTGGTGTGCGAGCGTGCCACTGCTAGTAATGAAAAGTCTAGCAGACTTAGTCTGGAATGGATAACTTGCGCCCCAAGTTACTGATTTCTTAAACAAACGATTGTGAATTTGGGTGAGGAATATCTCCCAAGTAAGTTCTTTTCTTGCCTCAGACTGGTGAGGACTTTAGTAATTTATCTCAGTATAAAGAGGTTGTTCTGGCCAGAATAGTTGATGAAATTTAAGCTGTTTTTGGGCGGAAGTGCCTTTTACAAGACTACAAAAATATATGTCGATGCCAAAAAGATAAAAAGATAGCTAGATCTCCATTTCTGCCTGGATGGGAGGCTCTGTGATGGGCTGGACTGGGAATGTCTGGGCTGGACTGGACCGTAGACAACTCTGATTGCCCGATTTTCAACTACAAATCGATGCCAAAGGTTGATTCTGGCAGAGCTTTAATGTACCTCAAGCTTTTGTGAAGCTTCTGAGTAGGCAGAACTGCGGTTTCTTCAGTCTGAAAGGGCAGAAGTGGCTGTTCTTGAGGACGTTGGTGAGCTAGAGGCTATTCCGTGAATTTGGCTGGGGTTTTCCATACTTGGAGGAGATTCAAACTCTGCTTGTGTTGGTTTTTGCTGAACCAAATTTGTAACGAGAGAAATCTCGTTTTGAATGACTTGCTTCCTAAATCTGGATTCTGGGCATTCTGATCTGGGGCTGGTTTTTCACTTGAAATTCAAGTGGACTTGTTGGTTGACTCTGAGCTTGTTTATGTGACGGTTTACCTGTGTAGGACCTTTGTTTGGTTGAGTGATGAAATTTTTGTTGTAAGATTGATTGTTTTTGCCCTGTTCACTCCTTCTTGTATTTATAAGAAATGTCTTCTGGAGTAGGGTAATTCTTTTAATAATGGGCGGCAAATCCTTTCAAAAGATCTTCCCTTTAAAAATGGAAAAGAGAAAAAGGGGATTTCATCAGTTTTTGGTAGATAGGTTCTCAACAGATAGGCAATCACTTCCCTGATTTTCTTGAAATCTCTTTCCTAATTTCAACTGCCCCCTGCGATATTTTGCCCGTGATGGTTAGTTTGACTCCTTTTCTGGACAGCTTCCTGCTTTCCTGCTTATCCCTCTCTGAGATTGTAACTTGCTTATCTCCTTGGGAGAATTACCTTCTCTGAAAAGACAGGAGAAAAAATCTCTGAATGTATATATATATATATATGTGTAAGAGGGATTTGATCTTCAGTTTTTCCAGAATCAATCTTGATATTATGAACCCTTCAATTACTTCTCCTGTGACAGTTGCCATTGCTGACTTTTTTTCTTTTTTCCAGAGATGTCACGTGGGATTGTTCCTACTTCTGGGCTTTCTTCTTTCTTTTATATTGGGCCTGTGAGGCCCAGATTAGCCTTGTCTATTTTGACGAGTCTTGGGCTGGTCTCCTCTGGCTTTTGGGCTTCCATCTTCTTTGAAAAATTGGGGTTTTTTTTGGGGGGGGGGGGGGGGGGGGGGTTTTTTTTTTTTTTTTTTTTTTTTAAAAAAAAAAAAAAAAAAAAAAAAAAAAAAAAAAAAAAAAAAAAAAAAAAAAAAAAAAAAAAAAAAAAAAAAAAAAAAAAAAAAAAAAAAAAAAAAAAAAAAAAAAAAAAAAAAAAAAAAAAAAAAAAAAAAAAAAAAAAAAAAAAAAAAAAAAAAAAAAAAAAAAAAAAAAAAAAAAAAAAAAAAAAAAAAAAAAAAAAAAAAAAAAAAAAAAAAAAAAAAAAAAAAAAAAAAAAAAAAAAAAAAAAAAAAAAAAAAAAAAAAAAAAAAAAAAAAAAAAAAAAAAAAAAAAAAAAAAATACTTAAGAAACTATCTGTGGAAATCTGCGAGTTTGTTAAAAAATAAAAATAAAATAAAATAAAATAAAAAATAAAAGAGCGAGAGAGAAAGGTTGTTTTGCAGAAGACATGCCAAGTCAAAGCCATTTGCATGGGTGCCCAACCTGTAGAAAAATCTCAAGCAAAAGACTTCCGCCAACCAAGCATCTTATATATATATATATATATAATATATATATATATACTAAGCAAAAGTTACAATGTGTTCTAAAAAAAAAAAAAAGGGACATAGGTTCCGGCAGCTTGAACACAACAACACTGCAAGTGCCCAAGCTACCGCGATACAAGTCTTAGGGTTACCTACAAGGAATTACTGCCTAGATCAAACTAAGTTATACAAGATAAAATGTGTTCTTCAATCTTGAAAGAAATCCCGAGATGTGTCGAGCCAGTCAGTCCTACACCAAGCAAAAATGCAGCCTGCGGAATTAAGAAAATGTCAAACGAAAACAGGAAGGAAGTGGATGAGAATAAAAAGGAAGGGAGAGGAAGTCACGAACCTCAGAACCATTATGCATGACTAGAAAAGAACGGAAGAAGCCTTTTGAGAAGACTTTGTCACCGCTTCCATCACGCAGCCTGCACTATCAGGAGAAATACCTTGGGCAAGCAGAAGGGCACGCAATTCCTCATGTTGATTTTCTAACTCACGTTGCTTGAGATTCAAGGCCTTTGCCGCTGCTCTTATATTGTCAGAACCAGAAAAGCACTCCATGGTATGAATAGCCCGTTCCCCGAATACAGCACGTGCTAGGTCTTTCACCAGATTCAAGAGAAACTCTACCCGGAAACCTAAAGTCAATGGCTTCACAGATCGCGTCCAGCCAGCAAAGGAGTCAATGGTCTGTGATGTCCAGCAGCTGCGTAGTATCCATCCTGCGGAGCACCAAACCAAGAGTGCGGAAAGCAACGCACCGTGAAAAGGAAGAAGTGATGCTAGTCATATCTGTGAAATCCCCATATTTGTCTAGAAATTTCTCCAGGGCTGCAACTGTCTCGGGATAAATGAGGGCTCCTCGAAATGTTGCATAACCGATGAGCCGGTGACAAAGTGGCAAGAGTTCATCTGCGGATCAAAGGACCTGAACACCACCATCAAAGAAGGCCATTGGGGAAAAAAAAAAAAAAAAAAAAAAAAAAAAAAAAAAAAAAAAAAAAAAAAAAAAAAAAAAAAAAAAAAAAAAAAAAAAAAAAAAAAAAAAAAAAAAAAAAAAAAAAAAAAAAAAAAAAAAAAAAAAAAAAAAAAAAAAAAAAAAAAAAAAAAAAAAAAAAAAAAAAAAAAAAAAAAAAAAAAAAAAAAAAAAAAAAAAAAAAAAAAAAAAAAAAAAAAAAAAAAAAAAAAAAAAAAAAAAAAAAAAAAAAAAAAAAAAAAAAAAAAAAAAAAAAAAAAAAAAAAAAAAAAAAAAAAAAAAAAAAAAAAAAAAAAAAAAAAAAAAAAAAAAAAAAAAAAAAAAAAAAAAAAAAAAAAAAAAAAAAAAAAAAAAAAAAAAAAAAAAAAAAAACCGATGATATCTGGTCGTCTTGCGCGTTGGCTGCTGCAGCTATCTGAATTTGATATTACGTGCACAACTCCTAAGGCCATGAAGGGACAAGCTGTGATTGACATGCTGTCTCTATTTCCTGAGGTAGAAGGATCAACTCTTTCCAAGGAGGTTTTGGGGGAGCTGCCGGAAATGGTGGCTGCTGTGACGGAGGAGGAGCCATGGACCCTCTACTTTGATGGGTCTTCTACAGCTCTCTCATTCAAGTTAGATTTTCCATGCACAAATAATGTGGCAGAGTATGAGGCTTTGATTATGGGATTGTCCACTGCCAGGGAAATGGGTGCAGAAAGGATGAAGATCATTGGCCACTCTAATTTGGTACTAACTCAATTGCAAGGAAGCTTTGCTGTGAAGGAGGTAACCTTGGCACCATATCGGACAGCTGCTGAAAGGCTTATTAATTCCTTCAAGCAAATAGTGATGGAGCACATTCCGGGAGTCACCAATAGGTATGCTGATGCCTTGGCTACGTTGGGATCAAAGCTCTCATTTGTGCAGGAGCAACCCAATATTACAGTAATAAGGAAAGACGCACCGGTTATCGAAGCAATGGTCCAGGCGGAGCTGCTGGAATAGGACGATTGGAGAAAACCATTGAACAAAAGGTTGGGTGAAGAGAGTGGTATTAAGGATTTGAAGGATTATGTGGTTATCTTTGGGGAACTCTACAGGCGTCTTCCAAGAGGCGTTTTGACTCGATGCATAGGAATAGTTGAAGCAAGAAGGCGGCTGCAAGAAGTGCACGATGCTACTTGCAGTTTGGAGCCAGTAATCAGCTTGTATCGGCGCCTGTAGGGTAAAGGTTATTTTTGGCCAGAGATGAGGAAACAAGCGGTTGAGGTTCAGGCTAATTGTCCCAAATGTTCCACAATACCGACTACCGAGGAATCTTTTACCATTTCACTCGCAAAAGATTGGAGGGCTCCATATTTGGCATTTTTTGTTGAAAGGACTCTGCCAAGCAATTCCAAGCTCGCCTATAAGCTTAAGAAGACAGTAAAGAGATATTTTGTGGACGGATCGATTCTTTACCGAAAGGGATTTAATGGGGAACCTCTACGATGCTTAGGAAATACGGAGTCACATCAAGTCATGCAAGAAATACACGCTGGAGAATGCGGAGAGCATCAAGGAATGAAAAAGCTCCACCGGCAGCTGTTGAGTTTTGGATATTACTGGCCTACTATGAAAAGGGATGCACATGATTTTGTTAAGAAGTGCCACACGTGCCAAATCCACGCCAATTTGAGTCACAAGCCTCCTACACTGTTGCAGGACATGCGCACTCCTTGGCCTTTCCATACTTGGGGGCTTGACTTAATAGGGACAATTCATCCTCCTTCCGACGGTTACATATGGATTCTTACTGCTACAAAATATTTCACAAAATGGGTCGAAGCAATTCCTCTCCGAAAGGCTACGGGAGCCGCTGTTTCAAATTTCATTTGGGAATATATTGTATGCAGATTTGGAATTCCATACAAGATGGTTACTGACAATGGCACGCCTTTTGTTAACAAGCAAGTAAGTTCAACACTTAGTGGTTACGGAATCAAGCATCGCCGCTCAACACCCTATTACCCGCAGGGAAATGGTCAAGCAGAAGCTACTAATAAGACAATACTGAGGATTTTAAGCAAAATGGTGTATGAGTATGAGGGCGGTTGGAGCATTCACCTGCCGGATGCTTTGTGGGCTTACCACACCTCACCTAGAAGTACTATAGGTTTTTCACCTTATTCACTGGTATATGGGTCCGACGCTATTTCACCTGTGGAAATCACCACTCCCACGGCCAGAGTGTTAGCTGTTAACGATCTTGAATGGGATGCAAAGTCATGCTCGGATTGACGTTTGTTGGATCCTGAAGCAGTGGACGAAAGGAGAATGGAAGCCGAAAGAAAAATGGCCATCTACCACAAAACTGTTGCCCAAGCATATAACAGGACCGTTAAGCCTCAAGCTTTCAAGCAAGGAGATCTGGTGCTAAAAGTCGTCGAGCATGTGAGAAGACAAATGTCAGGACCATCCAAGTTTGCCCCGCAATGGGAAGGTCCGTTCGCAGTCAAGGAAGTACACAACAGTGGCTATTATCGCTTGATCTCTATTAAGGAAGGCATGCTAACGGATCCCATCAATGGAAAATGGCTCAAGCCCTACTACTGCTAAGTAGGCATAGTATTTTATCTTTATGTTGTTGCATTTCTTTTTTTTTTTTTTATGATCTCCTTCCATATGCTTGCTTCTGCTCGGGTAAGCTTTTGTAAAATGTACCTCGATGGTAACATGAGATTCGAAATGAAAGTGAAGAAAAAAAAAAAAAAATCTGCGTGTTTGTTAAAAAATAAAAATAAAATAAAAAAATAAAAATAAAAGAGCGAGAGAGAAAGGTTGTTTTGCAGAAGACATGCCAAGTCAAAGCCATTTGCATGGGTGCCCAACCTGTAGAAAAATCTCAAGCAAAAGACTTCCGCCAACCAAGCATCTTATATATATATATATATATACACTAAGCAAAAGTTACAATGTGTTCTAAAAAAAAAAAAAAGGGACATAGGTTTCGGCAGCTTGAACACAACAACACTGCAAGTGCCCAAGCTACCGCGATACAAGTCTTAAGGTTACCTACAAGGAATTATAGCCTAGATTAGACTAAGTTATACAAGATAAAATGTGTTCTTCAATCTTGAAAGAAATCCCGAGATGTGTCGAGCCAGTCAGTCCTACACCAAGCAAAAATGCAGCCTGCGGAATTAAGAAAATGTCAGACAAAAACAGGAAGGAAGTGGATGAGAATAAAAAGGAAGGGAGAGGAAGTCACGAACCTCAGAACCATTATGCATGACTAGAAAAGAACGGAAGAAGCCTTTTGAGAAGACCTTGTCACCGCTTCCATCACACAGCCTGCACTATCAGGAGAAATACCTTGGGCAAGCAGAAGGGCACGCAATTCCTCATGCTGATTTTCTAACTCACGTTGCTTGAGATTCAAGGCCTTTGCCGCTGCTCTTATATTGTCAGAACCAGAAAAGGACTCCATGCTATGAATAGCCCGTTCCCCGAATACAGCACGTGCTAGGTCTTTCACCAGATTCAAGAGAAACTCTACCCGGAAACTAAAGTCATGGCTTCACAAATCGCGTCCCGCCAGCAAAGGAGTCAATGGTCTGTGATGTCCAGCAGCTGCGTAGTATCCATCCTGCGGAGCACCAAGCCAAGAGTGCGGAAAGCAACGCACCGTGAAAAGGAAGAAGTGATGCTAGTCATATCCGTGAAATCCCCATATTTGTCTAGAAATTTCTCGAGGGCTGCAACTGTCTCGGGATAAACGAGGGCTCCTCGAAATGTTGCATAACCGTTGAACCGGTGACAAAGTGGCAAGAGTTCATCTGCGGATCAAAGGACCTGAACACCACCATCAAAGAAGGCCATGAATGCAACAAAGGATTCCTCCCACTCCAACCAAGATGCGTCGGGTGGATGTTCTGCAGTAGTATTCCCGGCAGCAACGATAGCATGGGCATTCTCGGCAACACTTACATCACCAGATGAGGACGCTGGAAGAAGTGCTAAGGGACCAGGCTCTGGCCCCCAGAGAAGCGGTTGAATGTGGGATGGAACAGGCAGTGTCCCATGAAAGGCAAAGGTGTTGCTTCGGAGAGTTGCCGGAAGAACTGGAGAAATGGCAGGCTCAAGGTCTCCCCAAAGGAAGTGCTGGAAGATAGGAGGCAACGGGTTTGTGATTCGAAACATGGATGTTGTGTCCTGGAATTTGTTGGCGGCGTGGTTGGAAATGACTCTGCAAGGGCTGCCTAGACCAATCTGTCAAAGGTGTCGAAGGAGGGAGCCACCACGGGCACGATTTCCATGTTCTGGGCAACGTGCCCAACCTAAAAAAAATAAGATAGGTACAAGGATCAGCACGAAATAAACAACAGGTTACGTGCACTAGCAAAAGAGTAAGAAGGGGATGGTGCCCAACAAGGAGAAAAAGAGAATATTAGTAAATGAGGTACCTCAGGGGTGTTTTCTGCAAAGTCGATAGTGGCCGCAACAAGGTCCGAACCCTCAACAATATCGGTGACCTGCGAGATGGGTACGGGTGGTCAGTAGGTATTTGGTGGTGCGAAGGAAGGGGAAAAGAACATAGTTTAGGATAGGCCAAGTACCGGCTCGACACCAACAGGGCGCACATTGCTACCCGCAGACCCAGAAAAGGTATTCGAGCCGCCTTGCTTTTCTGTATAATCGTCGAAAGGAACATCCCCATCGTGGTCATAATTGTCATTCCCATCGGGACCCTCATGCATGTCACCGATGTTATCCGTATCCTCTTGCTCCGGAGTACTAGCCTCGGACTCAGTACTGCCACCATCATCGCTGTCATCATCAATTGTCACCACAGTTCTAGTTCCAAAGGCTTTGCTGCCGCTTGTACAAGCCCCAGTGAATTTTGCTTGCAAGACACGCATGCTGCGACGTTTTTGGAGTAGCTTGTGGGACACGGAGGGTGTGCTACTTCTTCTCCTCTTTGGAGTGGTACCGATTTTCCCTTATATATTAAAAAAAAAAAAAAAAAAAAAAAAAAAAAAAAAAAAAAAAAAAAAAAAAAAAAAAAAAAAAAAAAAAAAAAAAAAAAAAAAAAAAAAAAAAAAAAAAAAAAAAAAAAAAAAAAAAAAAAAAAAAAAAAAAAAAAAAAAAAAAAAAAAAAAAAAAAAAAAAAAAAAAAAAAAAAAAAAAAAAAAAAAAAAAAAAAAAAAAAAAAAAAAAAAAAAAAAAAAAAAAAAAAAAAAAAAAAAAAAAAAAAAAAAAAAAAAAAAAAAAAAAAAAAAAAAAAAAAAAAAAAAAAAAAAAAAAAAAAAAAAAAAAAAAAAAAAAAAAAAAAAAAAAAAAAAAAAAAAAAAAAAAAAAAAAAAAAAAAAAAAAAAAAAAAAAAAAAAAAAAAAAAAATATGCTCTTCTTCTCTGCAGCTTTCATATTGTTGGGGCTATTCTCTTCATAACGTAGTTAGCCTTACTAAATCCAACATTAGTTATAAAGACTAGACAAAGACAAGAAATATGGTAGGTTCCTATTATAACCCTTTCGTTTTCACTTCCTATTATATATGTTTTTGTTTATTAACCAAGACAAGAAATGGTGTATTGGAATACATAAGAAAATGAAATAGCATGTTTTCAGATAGATTTGCCATATACACCGCTTCCACTGTACATTATTTAACTTAAAGATTTAGGGTTGGGATTTGGGGGAAAAAAGACAGAGAAGGTGTTTGGCTAGTTGGGTAGAGAAGCTGTGATAGGTTTTTTGTTTTTGTTTTTGTTTTTTTGGTTTATTCTTAACGGGTTAACGGGTTGTATCGGATATTCGCGAATTGTAACGGGTCGTGTTTGGGTCTAGTATTTGTCACCCGTTAACTTAACGGGTTGTGTCGTGTTAACCAGTTAAATTAACGGGTTGACACGAACACGACCCGAAACCCGTTAATACAACCCGTTTGCCAGGTCTAGTTGAGAGGGTGAGGTCACTGCTGTCAAAGGCCGAGTGTGAGTACCGAGCGTGAGTACCAGAACCTAGTCACCCAGAAAAATCTGTTTGAGTCTGGACTTTTGCATGGAAGTAAGTACTTACGTCACCTTTGTTTGTCTTCTGATTCCTTTGTGTAGTTGTGACTAACTTAGCTTTTGATGTGCAGTGGCAGGTATTATAAAGGGAAGCACGAAGGTGGTTGTGGATATTGATGACGCTGAGATGCAAAAGCGAGTGGGGGAGTCTCGGGCCAAGAAGGCAGAGAAGGGAGGTGCCCAGCAGGCGACTGGGAAGCGCCTTATAGAGATGACGGTGAGGGTTGGGTTGCCGACGTGATGGGAAAGAGGAAGGCATTGGAGGAAGCTCACCAGAGTGTGATGGGGACGGGGCCGAGACTTCCTCATTTTGATCTGCAGTCACCGCCGAAGCTCCCCTTTGGTATTGAGGATGTTTTTGCTAAGGGAGTGGAGAAGGTGGACTTCTTCGTGCTGCGTTGTCAGAAGAAGGAGGTGAATCTGGCCATGCATCGGTAGGAGGTTCCCTTGGTGAACGTCTTCCTGGAATGCGTGAAGAGTGAACCCGAGGCTCTAGCGAGGACTCATGCCTCTTCCTTTGCAGATTGAGCCCAGAAGACAATCCTTACCCATGCTTATGTAAGTTATATTTGGTTGTGAATTTGTGCTTATCATTCTGGTTTGCTCTAACTGATGATGCTTTGTTTTGCAGGCCTTTGGCGAGATGTATGTCAACATGGCTAAGGCAGATAAGGAGATCCAGAGGCTGAAGAGGCGTGATGAGATGACCAAGGGTAAGATGGCGAAGGCACAGGAGGCCATTTGAGAGAGGAACACCCTGCTTTTGTAGAAGGCGGCGATGGCCAAGGTGATGGAAGAGTTGAGGCGGTTGAGGGCCGAAGAGATAGATGAGGCTCGAGCTGAAGCGGTCGAGTCGTTTCAAAGTTAAGGAGCTACCCAACTATATCACGGACCGGTTGGTGGATGAGCAGCTTCGTTGGGATGAGCACTTGATGTTTATTTTTGTTTTGTATAAACAATTTGCCTTGCTTGGAGCAAGGTTATTTTGATTTGCTATGATATTAGACTTGTTGTCATTTGATATAAGTTGTGCTAGTAAAATGATAATCATGTGATTGATAGGAATTAGCCAGAGTCAGGCGTTTCATTAGATAGGTGCCGAAAGGCGAAAGGTACAAGAGATGGTCGAGTCAAGGCTCAAGACCAAAGTCTAAGAAAACATAATGTCCTAGGGTCTAGGTGTGTTTACTTATAGTAGTACTTGAGGTGATTAGCGTTCCAAGGATGAGGCAAAGTCTTGCCCTTGGGATCACGAAGCTGATAAGTGCCGGGGTGGCAGACTTTGGTAATCTCATAAGGACCTTCCTATGTAGGTCTCAAGTTACCTTCAGTAGTAGGGTTTTTGGTGGCTAAGGAAACTTTGCGCTTGACCCAGTAGAGGTTCGGTATGTGGGCTTGCCAATCTCCACTGATGCCATGGCTTCGGTACCAAAGGAAAGAGAGAACGGTGTTTCTCTTGTGGAAGTACGGAAGGTGGTTCGGTAGGACCAGAGAACCTCTGGGAGTAGCTCTGGCCAGCAACCCTTGGCTTTGTCAAGTTTGGTCTTCAAGGTCTTCTTGATGATTTTGTTCACAGCTTCGACCTGGCTATTGGACTGAGGATCAGCTGGGGAGGGAAAGCAAAGACGTATCTTGAGGTTGTAACAAAATTGCTTGAACTTTGCACTGTCAAATTGCTGACCATTGTCTGTGACGATGGTGTGGGGGATGCCGAAGCAACATACGATATTCTGCCAAATGAACATTTCGATGCAAGCTGCAGTGATGATAGCTAAGGCTTTCGCTTCAGCCCACTTGGTGAAGTAGTCCACAACTACAACTGCATACTTGACCTGGCCCTTACCCTCAGGCATAGGTCCAATGAGGTCAAGTCCCCATTGGGCGAATGGCATCTTGTAATGCTTTGCTAACATAATGCACCGAGTGTTCAGCACTTTCCTTTGGTCGGATGAGCACAGGGCTAACTGCTGTAGCTGAGACGAAAAGGTAAATCATGAGGATGTCTCTAGGCTCGGGGGTTGACAATAAAAGGGCCCGGCTCATATACTCCTTCAGCTCGCTAAAAGCCTTGTCACACTCAGCAATCCAAGTAATGCTTCGCTTGCTACCCTTAAGTGCCTTGAAGAATGGGGCGTAGCGATCAGTAGCCTTGGAGATAAACCTAGTCAGGGTCGCGACGCGCCCTGTAAGGCTCTGGATGTCCTTGACCATCTTGGGTATCTTCATGTCTAGGATGACCTGGATTTTCTCTGAATTGGCTTCAATACCTCGCTGGCTGATCATGAAGCCAAGGAATTTCCCTGAAGCCATGCCGAAGCCACACTTCGCAGGGTTAAGCCTTATTCTATACTGCTTTAGGATCGTGAACATGGCAGATAGGTTAGAGATGTGTTGGTCAGCAGTGCGACTTTTGACTAGCATGTCATCAACATAAACCTCCATGGTGTTGCCAATTAGTTGGACGAAGAGGTTGTTCATAAGGCCTTAAGGGCATCACCTTGTAGCAGTCTAGACCACGATCCGTAATGAATGAGGTGTGGGCTTGGTCATCAGGGTGCATGAAGATCTGGTTGTACCTAGAGTAAGCATCCATTAAGCTAAGAAGGATGTGGCCAGCCGTGGCGTCCCGATTAAGATTGGTGTAGTCAACACACATGCCCCAGCCCCTCTTTGGTTTGCAGCCCATCACCACATTAGCCAGCCAGGTGGGATAGTCCACCTCCTTGATGAATCCGATGCTGCACAACTTATCCACCTCTGCCCTCATGGCCTCATATCGCTCTAGGTCATACGCACAACGCTTCTGCCGAACTGGTCGGACGACATGATTAATGCTGAGCCGATGGGATATGATGTCTAGTGAGATGCCATGCATGTCATTGTAAGACTAGGCGAAGACTTTAGAGTTGAGGCGGAGGAAGGCGACGAGGTTAGAGCGAAGCCCTTGTGAGAGGGAGGTACCAATCCGGACCTGCCGATCCGGGATGTCGTCATGGAGAGTAACTAGCTCAAGGTCCTCCACAGGTTTGGCCTGCTAGGTGACAGATTCCTCCCTGGGTCTTCAGGTCGTTCAGTGTCAGCTCAAGGAGGGGCTAGGGCGTTGGTTACCGCAAGGGCCTCACCCCTATTCTGGCGATTGGTGGACTTGACTACTGAAGCATAGCAGCTTCGAGCACCAAGTTGGTCGCCACGAACCTTGCCCATGCCATGGTGGGTAGGGAATTTCAGCAGCAACATATGTGTGGAAATGAAAACCTTCATTTGCGCCAAGGCTGGGCATCCGAGGATGATGTTGTAAGCTGTGGGGCAGTCAACGATAAGGAAGGGAGTGGTGACTGTAGCCTGCTGAGGTGTTGAACTAATGGAGATAGGAAGGTGGATGCTGCCAAGAGGCTGAACAACATCTCCAGAGAAGCTCACGAGAGGGGTGATGCTTCGGTCAAGCAAGTGAGCCGGGACTTGGAGCTCTCTAAAAGCATCAGCAAACATCACACTAATCGAGCTGCCAGTGTCCACTAGGATATGCCCAACATCAAAATTATAAATGCTGCACGGATAATGAGTGGGTCATAATGAGGGAGAATAACACCACGTTCCTCTTCATCGCAGAAGGTAATAGAGGCCCAGCCTAATTTTGACGTCTTCGGCAGCGTCCCTGCTCGGTGCTAAGACCTGGTGCGCATAGGTGGAGCATACATATGTTTGATGGAGTTGTTGGAGGTTTCAGCCGTGGTAGGACCACCACTGATGGTGGAGATCATGTTGATCTGTCGTTGGTGAAGGTTAGGTGGGGGTGGGGGTGGGGGTGGAAGGGGGAGGTTGTGCACATATGTGTCTAGCTTCCCTTCACAGATGAGTCCTTCAATGATGTTGCGCAAGGCAACACAAGATTCGGTTTCATGGCCACCGGACTGATGAAAGCGACAGAAGACACCTGTGTTTGGCATAGGCTTGCTGGTCGGTCTCCTAGGGGGATGCTTGGGTATCATTGGTGCCTCGTGCACCAGGACATTCTCATAGGTGGTGTTAAGGGTGGTGAAGACCTTGAACCTAGGCTTGGGTGTGAAGAGGAGTGGGGCCAGATCACTTGTCCTAGGAGGGTTGCTTCTGCTGGACTATTGGTGGTTGCCATGTCTGCCACGCTTGCTACTATTGAAGGTATGCTGGTAGCTATCCTTCCTCTTTGGGTGGGGTATCCTGGGTATTTGGGGCAGGAGAAGAATTCTGAGGCGGGGCTGAGGTGGGTACCGTAGCAGGTGGAGGATTACCGAAAGTGCTACGTGCCGGGGTGGCTGGGCCACGCTTGGAATTGAATTACTTAGCCTTGGAGTGAACTGCTACTTGTTTAATTAGCTCCGCATATGTGTTCCAGGGTTGCTGTGGGCCAGGTAGCGGATGTTGGACTCGCGGAGGCCACTCTTGAAGGCACCGAAAGGAGCATGATCGTTAGTCTCTGGACAACGGGAGTACTCATGGCTGAACCGGGCTGCATACTCCCGAAGGGGTTCGTCCTCGACCTGCCGAAGCATGTACAAGTCGTCTGCGGAGTATAGGCGATCAGTTTGGATCATGAAGTGGTCTAAGAAGGTCTGCTTCAGACTGTCAAATGAGTTGATGGTGAGGGAGTTCAACCTGTGGAACCAATTCAGGGCCGCGCCACTGAGGGTGGAAGGGAAGATGAGGCACATGCCTTCGTCACTAAGGCGCTTGCACCCGAGGGCAGACTGGAATGAGTGGATATGGGTGAGAGGATCCTCCGTCCCAGTGTAAAAGGCAATACGGAGCGACTGAATGTCCTTCTCCTAGTGGTAATAGCTTCGCCCAGAGGGGTTGGTGGCTACGCTGCTGCTCACTTTCCAGGCGCCGGAACTTCTCAAAGAGAAGCCTCATGGCTGGGTCGGCATGAGGGAAGGTCTCGGGTGCTGAAGGCCTGGTGTGTGGGTAAGTAGGGGTTGGGTAGGTTCCTACTCTTCGAACGCCTCAGTGTGATAAGACTCCAAGTCTTCTGGATGGTAAGATTCCCAGTTATCCGAGTCCTCTACACCTTCTCTAGCGAGTAGGTGGGTGGGCTTCGGTAGGGGGCCTAAGTGTGCCGCCCTTGGGTCTTTGGGCTTAACAGATAGAGGGATAGGGTCTGGCTAACGGTCCAAGAGACGATCCCTGCAATCTCTGTACACCTTCGTCGGTTCATGAGGCCGGTCCTTTGGTGGGGAGATTTGAAGGTGCCGCGACTTGGTTGTCTCTGGATGGAGGGGACCTTTACCCTTGCTGAGCCTAGACTGGACCAGGGCACTATGGCAAGAGTGTACTGGCTGGTTTGGCTTGGTATGCCCAACATCCTAGCTAAGGTCATGTTGGGAGCCCTGGGTTTGACTCCTCTCCAAATTTCGCTTTAGAGTGTGGTAGTCATGCTCCAGCTCGATGTTCTTGGTATGAAGACGTTCATATTTCTCGGACATCTTGGGAACACTGGCGTGGAGGCACTCTACCTTTGCCTAGAGATTGGCATCTACTGAAGGTTTCCTTTGGGAGGTGTCCCCACGGGGGGTATGGTGCTGAGTATCGTGGCTATCCTCGTCGACATAGCAGAGTGTGGGGTGAAGAAAGGTGACATGCCTGGTTGGAGAAGGAGCTAGCTGGGCTGGTAGAGATAAATGGGATTCAAGTGTCGTTTCCCATAGACGGTGCCAAATTGTTGGTGCTCTTTTTGGGAAGTCAACTTAGAGGGAAGTGAATAGTCTACAGCAGGGGAGAAGGTGAGGACCTTCGGCAAAGGAAGAGCTTGCAGAAGACAAAGTAGAGAAGCAGTCGTTAAACTTTGGACACCGGTGTGGTGCTGGCAGTAGGCTCTCCGATGCTTAAGTCAGCTATGGGTGGTAAAATTGGCATTGTAACAATAAAGTGAGAGAGAAGTTACTCTTTTTACTCTGGTACTATTCCCTATTTATAGGGAAGTGAAAATGGGAGCTTTGCACAAAATTTCAATCTGGGACTTTATGCAAGTTGCTGTGGTGGTGACACGTGTCTTGGAGATTAGGTTCGGCAGTTGAGAGCTTCGGCAGGTGTCTGGCACCTCGGAAGGATGTTTTCCTTCGACAGGGGAAGAAGACATGTCTGGCTTTGGTGCTAGTTGCTTTGATGCTGGATATGCTTGGTTGATTATGGTGTAAACAAATACTTATTTCTTTTCTTTAATTTCAACTATTTTATGTAAGGACATAAAGTCTTCAATATAATCCAGTGATCGTTAGAACCCGAAGTTCTAAGCCAGACAGATCTATATTGAAGTCCTCAAACCCAAAACCTCGAGGAGATATATATTGATTAAATAAATAAATAAAAGAGCATGAACTTGAAATTCACAATTTATATTATCGAGAACCTAAAATTCTGACAACAAAATTAATTAAATGGTGACAAAAACCAGAGTTTATACTTAAATTATTCAAGAACTGAAGTTCTCGATTAGATTTATATAGCACAAATTAAAAACTTAAATTTCATGTATATGTGCATATGTATTATAAAAGATATAATATATATTGTGGGAGCATATATTTCTGCTTCTAATCACAAGGCGCCATGTGAATAAGAAGAATATCTTATAGGTCAATCAATTGAGCCCATTTATTTGGCAAATTAATTGATACTAAAAATAAGGATATTATCATATTTAAAAATATAATATCACCAATTTAGGATATTATCTTATTTTGGACATATCATTATCAATCAAATTCCTAAGCGAATATTCTCCTGTGAGAATATATGCACAAACATTTGATGCTTTTATTGAGAGCATGAATTATACTCAACACGTGCTCTTGAATCGAAGGAATCTGTTTCCTCCCCTTTTCTCTCAACCAAAGCTTTCTGAACAAGACCACACTCGTCCCACAATCCTGCGATCACAATGGAGGCTTCACCTCCTCACTACACCACCGATGTGAACCTACAGCAGGCCTGTGCTGTCGCACCACCACATGGTTTTTAAGGAAAAATCAACTTTTGGAGGAATTTTAGCACAAGGCCAATTGGAGATGAAAGCTAACATCTTGAAGTTCAATCTGTGATTTTTCTAATATTTTCTACCAAGCCAATTGGTACAGTATTACAAGTAAAGTTAGCCCACGTGCAGACAAGACAGTTTCGTACATGTTACGTGAATGTGAAGAACGGAAGCCTTCCCGAATTTTCCAAGTTACGTGCTATATATGGTTGGAAAGATAAGACATTTATCTTTCTAAAATATATTTTTAATGATTTTTCTACAAGGCCGAAGATCCCCAAATCGTGTGACAATTGGGCTGAGCTGTATTTCCCAGTGGAGTTAGGAATTGTGATTTTTACTTTCCTATTTGGATTCCTTGTTTACCAAGACTTCTTGGACGACTCTCAGTCAATTTTAGGGTTTATAACTTTGATATAAGTGATATAAAAGGCCAGCCAAGGCCCCGATACAGAGTATTCACGTCCAAAAGGGATCAACCGCGTAAGAGGAGAAAGCTGCCAACGAGTTCTTTCTTTTCCTTTCTTCTTTTAAGTTTCAGTTCTTATGTATTTATTTTTGAGTTCATCCAAGAGCATGAGTAACTAATTTCTTGTTAGTTAGGGCTTAATCTTGAAGCCCTAAACATGATTTCAATTCTATAAACAAGTTTGAATGGATTTTCAGTTTCTACAAGTGTGATGATTTCGGTTTCTCTATGTTTTGTGAATTCTGATATTTTGTTTCTTTGAGTAGCTAACTTTGAAGCATGTATTGGAATTAAATTGTTGTAGAACATAGGTCAATTGCCATATTGAATGTGTTCTTGTTTGCAACGAATAATTGGGTTAAAAACTAGTTATGAGAAATCGATTCTTGAATTCCTAATAACAAATGCCATGTTTTAGGGTTTTTGTGACACTCATATTCTCTTTGATCTTAATGGATTCTTGATTGTTAATTTGAGTAAATGTCATACTAGATTTCAATTAAGAATACACGTATTGATGTAAATGCCATACACTTTACATGCACTTAAGAGAGAATCATACAACTCGAGTCAAATGCCATGATCTTGTTGTGAGTGTCGTCATCATATGATTGCTAGAAATTGATTATCTATTGTTGTTTATGAATTGATTGATTGGTTAGAGGTGGATAGTGAGTCCTAGCTATTGTTCTTGATTGATTATAAACCAATTTCTCTTAAACTCTAATTTAAATTCTGTTTTGTTTTGTTTTCCTTATTTTGTTTTATTCACAAAATCAAATAAAAACCCCCCTTGGTGTTGGCGTGTGTGTGGAAGTCCTTGTGTTTTCGTTGAGTGACATTGATAAACATCTCTCCAGATTACAATCTCTGTGGGAATGACCCTTGCTTGCTTACTATACTATCATTTGATTTGTACACTTGCAAGGTTTAAATATTGTTGTTAAAAATTACCAACAGATTGCGATTGAGCCTAAGGATCAACGTGCATGAAAGGTTGGGCCCGCTTCTAGATCTTCTCGTTAGCTTGGCTCCACAAGGAAATGTTCATGAAAGGCTAAACCCTCAGAAAGATCACCATATCGACCCTCATCATGAGGTTCAAGAAGAAAGGTGTTCTGCAGCTCATTCTCGAAGAATCTCTTCTCGTTAACAAGCCACAAGGAACCCCTCGCAAGCACAGGACAATCGAGGAAGTCAGCCCCTACGAGTCAACGAGGAAGTCAATCAACGACGCTCGAATCATGGAGGTCGCTAGTGTGAGTTGCAAGCCATGCGCACAGAAGATGTTGAAAGGCTTGTGAATAACCTGCTTCCAGACTTAAAGATCGGAGAAGATTTTGAAGATACCCTACGGAGGGAGGTGGACTAGGTGAACTCCTCACCATTCACCGTCGACATCGAACATGCTACTCCACCAAAGCAATTCTCAATGCCTTCTTTCACACACTTTAAAAGGGATTTCGATCCCGAGAGCCATATGAAGAACTTTAAAAGTGTTATGGTTCTCTACAAGGCTGAAGATGCTCTGATGTGTAAAGTGTTTGTCACGACCTTATAAGGAGTAGCCCAGGGTTGGTTCTATACCTTGCTATCCGGGTCGACTAGTAGCTTCAAGGAGCTAGCATTCGTATACACCAAGGAGTACATCTCTTATCAAACAATCAAATAGAACCCTGACCACTTGTTCAACTTGCATAAGAAGCATAATGAGTCCCACCAGGATTACATCAAGAGATTCAAGGCAGAAAAGGCAAACATCTTAGGTTGCGATGAACGAATCGCATCCTCTGCCTTCAAGAAGGGTTTGCCAACTGAGCACGACTGATTATTGCTCTCAGCCAAACTTTGGGAGAGGTCTTCGCGACCACGGAATGCTACATGCTTTAGGATGATGACCGAATCGTTGCGAAATAGCCTACCAAGAAAGCCAACCAATTGGCCAAACAGGCAAGGTGGAGAAGCGACAAGAGTGGTGCCAAGCGCAAGTCACATCCCCAAGAAGACTCTCGGGCAGATGAGAACTTCACCAAATTTTCCATCCCCATACATCAAATACTAGCCTAAGTAAATGACAAGCCTTGGGTGAAGAGACCACCGCCCTTGAAAGGGGATCCAGATAAAAGGGATACCAAAAGTTATTGTGCCTTCCATGGGGCACATGAGCATTTCAAGAATAATTGCTTTGCCTGGAAAAAGCCCTTCGAAAACTTGTGAGGGAAGGCCACTGCACAGAATTCGTAACAAAGCAGTCCATCCAACAGATCGAGGACTATAACACAATCCCGGTTGACTTTGAAGAATCCGAGCTGAGTAGAAAAGAAAGGAAGAGGGAGATTCAACAAGCCACTGTTATCTCCTACGTCTTAACTAGCCCCTCATTAGTCGAAGACGATCCCGTGATTGACTTCCAAAAGACAGATTTAATCGGTCATGATCAGCATCTAGATCGTGCAATCCATGATCGACCGAGTTCATGTAGACAAGGGCAGCACAACCAACATCTTACAACTCTCGGTGATCCAGTAGATGAGCATGGAGCCAAAGATCAACAAGTCAGCCAGGTTACTAGTCAGCGTCAATGACATGACTTCGGTAACCATAGGCATAATAGATCTCGATGTCTATTCCCTACCATTAATCAGCTCGCAAACCTTCATGATCATTGATGAAGTCGCCCCTACAATGGCAAACCTTCATGAAATCCCTGGATTGGCAAGAACGAACAGAGGAAGAAGCAGACAGTCGAGCAAACCAGAAAGGAAAAGGAATAGCAACTAAAGAGTAAGGACTAAGCCGAGGGAATTCGTCCGGAGGTCTTTCCTGAAAAAGGATGGAGGCCCGAAGAGGATGTTGAGCTGGTACCCATTCATGCTGACAAGCGAGAAAGAAAAGGGCGGATCAGCCGGCACCTAATCCCAGAAGATAAGGTGGAGCTTACAGCCTTCCTCCAGAACAACAACGACGTGTTCGTATGGTCACCATCTAACATGCCAAGCATCTATCCACAAATCTTATGCCATCACCTTCATGTCAACCCAGCCAGCAGACCAGTAGGGCAAAAGAGATGCAACTTCGCTCTCGAGCGACTTGCTGTCATTGAAGACGAGATCGACAAGTTCTTTGCTGCCGGTTTCATTGAAAAAGTATCCTACGCAGAATGGCTGGCCAATGTTGTTATGGTAGCAAGAAACGATAAGGGCTTAGGGCTTGTGAAGAGTTTGCGTCGACTACACCGACCTCAATAAGGCATTCCCTAATGACCACTTTCCGTTACCTAGAATTGATCATCTCATAGATTCAACTTCTAGCAATCATTTGCTAAGCTTCATGGACCCTTACTTCGACTACAATCAAATGAGACGACAAAACAAGGACCTCTTTCATCATCGAAAGAGGTACATATTGCGGCAAAGTCATGCTGTTTAGGTTGAAGAACACCGGAGCAACCTATCAAAGGCTATGGAGGTCTACATAAACGACATGCTAGTCAAAGCTCCCTGACGAGCAGACCACATCAAAAATCTTGTCGAAGCAATCAGCTTGCTCTAAAAGAATTACATGAAGTTGAATCCGAACAAGTGCACATTTGGAGTCTCATCTAGCCAATTTTTGGGATACTTAGTCACCCAAAGAGGCCTCAGGGCACATTCAAAACAAATCAAGACAATATTCAACATGAAATCGCCTACCACAAAAGAAGATACAAAGTCTACTGACAAGTGTAGGCCATTCTTCAAAGCCTTGAAAAAATGACAAAAAGACAAATTGGACGACGAGTCGAAGTTGCTTTTTAAAACTTAAAAACCTACCTCATTTCACCTTCCCTGCTCTCAAAACTAGTACCATGCAAAAATTTGCTTATCTACATGGCAGTGTCCAACTTAGCAGTCAACTCAACTCTCATCCAAGATAAGTTGGGGGCACAACATCTGGTATTCTACACGTCAAAAGCACTCCTCGATGAAAGAAAGTAAACACCCTACTACTAAGCTCACCAAATAATCACCATAACATAATTTTCTTTTTGATCGATACTTCACAGCCCCGACGCTTCTCAGCGGCTCATGAAATGGGCTATTGAACTCAGTCAGTACAACCTCTTCTACCGGTCGAAGATTGCTATAAAAGCCCAAGTTTTAGCTGATTTTGTTATAGAGTTTACTCCAACAGCTGAAGAAGAGAAGCTGGTCATAAAAAACAAGGAAAATTCGAAAGTAGACGATACCTCATTCACAGATCTAGACCTGCCCAAAGACATGTGGCAATTATGCGTAGACGAAGCATCAAATCATAATCGAGCTGGAGCAGGAGTTGTCATAATCACCCCAAATGGAACTTTGTTGGAGAAGGCCATCACACTGGGCCTTCCAACTTCAAACAATGAAGCAGAATATGAGCCATTGCTCGCCGAATTGCGCCTAGCAAAAGCACTATTGATAAAGAAATTGGCCATCTACTCAAACTCCCAATTGATTACAAATCAAGCTTCAGGAGAGTACATGGCAAAACATCCGAGAATGGTTAAGTATCTCGACAATGTCCAAGAATTTTTGAAGGAATTCCCCACTTTCACCATTCAACAAATTCCTCAGGCAAAGAACGCTCATGCAGATGCACTGGCAAGCCTAGGATTAGCGCTGGACACCCAGTTCAAATGCTCCATCCTGATCGAACACCACTACCAGCCAAGCATTGAAGAAATAGAGCAAGTAGACTCAATGCGAATTGATGAGGACCTTAGCGGGCAAGACACCATCATTGACTACTTGGCAAATGGAAATCTGCCGATGAATAGGGTAAGGCAAAGCATGGTAAGGTATGGCAAGGTAAAGCCAAACCCCAAAAAATAGGGTAAGGCAAGGCAAAGAAAGTCAAGAACAAAGGCAAGGTCAATGGGTGTGACCACAGGGGAAACACACTAGCAAAGGCATGAGCAACAATACTAGCACCATAACAGGCAACAACAATAATACTGGTACCAATAAGAGCAATACAAAGCACTAGCATTAGCAAGAGCAACAAGGTAGAGACATAACAAGCATCATCAAACAATAATCAACACTATCCCCAGCAAGAGTCATAACAGCCAAGAGCAATAACATTGTCCCCAGCAAGAGACATAGGGAAAACACACCAGCAAAGGCATAGCAACAATACTGGCACCATAAAAGGTAGCGGCAATAATATTGGTACCAACAAGAGCAATACAAGGCACTAGCACCAGCAAAAGCAACAAGGCAGGGCATGAGCAATAACATTGTCCCCAGTAAGAGACATAACAGGCATGAGCAACAACACTAGCAACATCAACAGCAGAGACAACTTCTCTTCACTCCCCTCTCCCCTTGAAGAGAAGGGGTCGATGAAGCCATATGATCAATGGTACTTGAGAAACAGGGACGGACAATCAGCCATGGCAGATAGGTAGGTGAATTGCAGCGGAATAGATGAGAATTGCAACGGTGTCACTCGGGTCAAGCCTTTGAGGTTGTTTAAGTAGGTTGGGTGATAGATCGGACATAGGAGTACTCCGGGAGATAACCCTGGGCAACAAATGTTGAGCATACGACGATGCCGCCCATTTTCATTTCGTGGAAGTCCTCGATAGAGGAAAGGGATGTAGGTGGTGGTGTATTCTGCTTCTTATCTAGAGAGAGGCGCTGAAATCGTTCATACTGGGTCGTGCGTGGCAGCCAGTATAGATGAATAAAGGCGGGCGCCGAAAAGGAACTAGCCCAACCTCTTCAAGAAAACTTTGCTTGGTAGGCGCTACCTATTCACTTGGACAATGCTCTGAAGATGAAAGTGTGCAGTTCCACCCCCTTCTCCCATGCTGAGTCACATGCAGCGCCTCAGAAAGAGAAAGCAAGAACGAGCCACATGCAGGGAAACTTGCACATGTGGTTTTGGCCAGGGACCCCAGTATATTGTACTAATATATGTAGGTCCCCGTAATTCAAGTGAGATTGTCATGGCGCAAAAGCAGATATGATCTGGTATTCCCCTGTTCCCTGTATTGGTTATGTTCTTCATTTCTCGTCTAGCAGAAACTAATCGAGCTCCATTTGATCTCCTAGAAGTGGAAACTAAATCAGTTGCAGGCTATAATGAAGAATATGTGTGGGATGCAATCCTTAGTACCTAGGGAACTTATAAGGCCTCTACATTGAGGGAAACCCTGTTGTACGTGAAAAAAAGAGAAGTTAACTATTGCATAACCTCTGTTTTCATTGGGCATTGGAACAATCACAAGTGCAGGAAAGAACTTGTTGATATAAGAAGATCTCTTTCCATATGGTCTTAATTTGAGTATAGTACTCAGCAACAGTCATATTCCCCTGACTAAGATTTTGGACTTCTTACTCAAGCTGGAATATCTTAGCTTCATTTCATATGGAATAAAGATCATGGAAATAAAAGACCATACCTGTTTAGCCGATGCCATAAACATAAGACTGGTAGCAATTGTAGGCTCAATTGCACTGAGAAGCCATGACATGACCAGCTGATTTGTGGAACTCCAGTCAGCCATCTTGGTCTCATTCATATTGGGGATCAGAGACAGAAGGACAGCGGGCTGATACATGAAGCTCCATAAACGCTTTCCTCCGACCAGTCTTGTGGTGGTACGGAAGGCACAGACTCTGCGAACGTCATGCGCCCCCTTTTACTAATAAAGGAAAGAAAGCCTCAACCAGAACCACATTCCTTTTGCATGAAAATGTAGCTAAGTGTCTGATTCTATTGGTCATAGTTTCCTGCTGTTGTGGCCGGTGCTAGTTTGCGCGCACGCGTGAACCAACCCAAGAAACAAGGAAAGAATGCCTCTCGAGGAATCTGAGAACGATTCGAGCCGTATGAAGGGAAACTCTCACGTACAGTTTTTTTTTGGGTGGGGGGGAGCCCCACAAGGTCCCCCCACTGACTTGGTCTAGGCCTAAGTTAAAGTGAAGTGGTGGGCCTACCCATCCCAACCAGGGGTATGCTGGGATTCGCGAAGAGCAGCACCTTACGATGTTCATGACCAATCAGATCCTGACGTACCAATAGGTACCAGAGGAGATCGCTATGATTGTTACTGTATCCGTATTGAGGAGATGTGACAAATTGTTTGGATCATTGTGCAATGGGGTTCATCATTTATTGACGGATTTTTCGGGATTTATCTTTCTTAGAATTGGAAAAATATTGAAATGACTGTTCAAAATTTAACCTATACCTTGATATTCAAATAATTTATATTTTCTTCTGAAATGTTTAGTTTATTATTATAAGCGTTGATAGCTCTCTTCTTTAAGGGTTATATATAAGCTAACATCCTTTAAGAAAGGCTCAAGAATAAATACTTGAGCTGATCTGCTTTCGATATGAGCCGAACGGGATGTTCCAGGAGATAGTGTCTGAGCTTTTGTACTGCAAACACAAATGCCAGTTATATATTTTCTATGTTTGAGTAATTTCACTCTGCGCCTACTAGGGTACGACTTAGATAGTCTAGAGCAACACTACCTTTCCTTTTCAGCATGGTGCTCACTGAACCTCTGTAATATCTAACAAGTCGAGTCTTATGTCGGTCATATAGAACACCAACACATAGAAAAAAGGGCTAAAGGAACCAGTCCATGACTTAACATCGGTAGAATGCTACCTCCAATTCCCTGTATGTTTGATAAAGGCAAATATTCTCCCCCACTGATCGAAGTATGCCGATTACCCCCTGAACCGTACAAGATAGTTACCACCTATCATATGGTTTTCTATCTTCACTTAATTTTCTAGTCGTTCCTGATATGACCTAAACCAAATTCCACTTTGAAACTTGAGCCGAACCCTGTGCGTGTCCGACACCTGGCGGCTGTCAGGCACAAATGTCCTAACTGCCATCCCATACAAAAATTCAATAAAATAACAAGCTTGACTCCTACCAAAAATTCGGCAGAGTCTCCCCTGTAATTTGATCATTTCCCAAATTTTACCCCTGTCAAACAAGTATATTGTTGAGGCCCAAAAATCCAAGGGGCTAAGCCCAAATTAATTCCTAGCCCAACACGGATAAGAGGGTACAAAAAGGCTCAATCGAAACATAAGAGCATTGTGGGACCCGCTAATACATGCTACCAGCCACGCGTCATGCCAAGTAAGCACATACAAAGGGACCAAAAACACACCAACTTTACAAAAATCATGCTCACATGCTCATTAGGCATCATGCGAAAAGAGCCATTATTCTACCACCAAGCTATGTCACAAGTGGACCCAAGCCACAAAATTAAACCGAGGCTTACTGAGAAGGTTGTGGCATGGAGGGGAACGAGCAATCACAAGGCCCATTGAGGGTTCAAGGAACGTAAGTTTTAAGCCACTTGGGGCTCTAGAACTCGAGCCCGTTCCTGGCACCCAAACACATGGGTTAGCATGAGAGAGAAGAGAAAATGGTCCCATGCTTGAAAATATCCAATGGCCTACCATAATGCCTAGCCCAACCCACATCAATAGAATGCCCAAGATTAACAAAGCCTTTCCAGCAGTCTGACGAAGACCCATCGCATGATCAGACCCACAACCCAACACCATATACACAAGTCCAGCCCAGCAACTTGCAAAAGTCTGGCGCTAAGTCCCATTCCCGTTAGAACCCCAAATAGTTGTCACAAGGGAGCCATGGCAGGACCAGAGGAAAGCCACGGAGGTGAGGGGAGTGTCCATTGGATAAGAGGCTTCATCTCTCCTCTTTTCCTCTGTAATCTATGTCTTGAAAAAACCATAAGAAAAGCAGGTGGCGCCTTCCCCTCTATGGGAAGGTCCAGCTGCGTCAAACCATTGGAACCACAAAGGGTTCCTTACCCAGGCTTCTTGGATGGAGAAATTCATCAAGAAGGATAAAGTGGAAGAGGGCAATGACAAAGGGAGGAAAAAATTGAGACAAAATTAGGGTTCTTCGTGGCTATAAAAGGGGCCTCTTCAACCCAGCAAAAATTAACAATCCAGAGCTTGACCAAGCTTTGTCAAGCTACCTGGAATTTACTCAAGCCACCCAATCTTCCTTCTTCGTTTGATTTTTATTCTTCCCTTAGGATAGAAATCGTTCTAGTTCTTCTCTGCCTCATTTCAGATTTTTCATTCTCAGTAGGAAATCCATGCTTCTCTCTCTCTCAAATTGCTAAACTTGTGAAAGTTTAGCTCCCATGCCACAGGCTCCTCAAGCTAAGCCATTAATTGATTTTATCATGCTTATTTGGCAATTAGTGAAGAAAACCTAAGGATGTTCTTCTAAGGTTTATCAAATCTTTCAAGGACTCCTTTAGGAGTTTGGTTCCAGAACTCGGACACTTGGGGAATTTCTGTGCGTTTTCTTCTTACGGCAGCCCAAGCCCATTCGTCAGGCTGCTGGAACAAAAAGACCCCTACATAAATTGGCGACTCTGCTGGGGATCAACCTGTTGTTTTCACTAAATGCCTCCAAAAAAGAAGACTAGAAGCAATACCATGGCTTCCCAAGATGGATCCGACCATGGTGATACCGGATCACGGCAAAATGCCTCCTCTAGGGAACAAGAACATGCAAGTGAGGGAACTTTCACTCTCATAGATCTCATTACCGCTATGCAGGCTATGGGGGAAACCTAGAGGGAGATGATGGATATATCAAGGAATTAAAAAATGCCACCTCTAAGCCAGGTGAAGACGACGACAGGCATCCACAAGAAGAATCTGCTGCTGCTGGGAAGGGGTCTAAACAAAAGAGACCATCTTTTGTTACCCAGGAAGATGTCGTTGCCATGCTGGAAAAGAGTTTAGTCGAAGCCAGGAGGATTGGAAGTACATTCCTCAGCCACCATACCCGTCTAGCTTACTCCAGCAGCCTTATCCCAAAGGTTACGAAACACCGACCTTTGTTCTTTTCGATGGGAGGAAGGGAAGCCCGAAGGAACATGTCAAACCGATTCCTCGATGCCTTAGGACCACATGCTGGTGACTATAATCTTCAACTCCGCGAATTCTCAAAAAGCCTCGCTGATCGGGCTTATACCTGGTACACCACGTTGGCGCCAGGTTCTATGCATTCTTGGGATGAGCTGGCAAGCAGGTTTTGTAAAAAATATTTTCAGCATGAGGAGAGGGTTACCACCACACAGCTCAACAACACTCGCCAAAAGCAAGGGGAGGATCCTGTGGACTTTGTACGAAGATTCCGGGACTTGGCTCTCGACTGTTATGATGAAAAAGATGAGGAGGCACTTGTCGAGATTTGCATCAGTAACATCATGGCAGATTACAGAGTTTACTTGGAGAATATTGGCATCAGTCAATTTTCTCAGCTACTGGAAGCAGTAAGGAAGACAAGCATGTCTATCAAGCCAACTGGGCAGAGAAGTTGGAGGAGCGAGAAGAAGGAAGCCCATCAAACGCTGGCCATAGATGATAAGTCATCCAATGACTACAACTCATGCAAAAGAAAGGATAGGGAGACATACCCTCCATTGCCGTGCAAGGACGAAGAATTTCATGCCATTCTTGACACGATGATTGCTGACGGCGCAATCAAGCCCCTTAGGCCCTACAAGGTCCCCACTAGGGAAGAAAAAAATGACCCCAGGTACTGCCGTTACCATCAATTTGTAGGGCATCCAACTATTGCCTGCCAGAGCTTAAGGAGGATCTTACATGGTAAAATAAACGAAGGGGTTCTTGAGCTTCCCTCTAGGAAGCAAACATGTTGCTGTTGTAACATGTTCTAACGACCTGCTCGATGATGATGAACTGTGTCACCCATGGAAGAACGACCCGAAGCCACCTGAGGCTATTTGGGAGCCTTGTGGAAACATGGAGAAAGCTTACTGGCGAAAATATTCAAAACCTTCAAGCTACAATATGCCATGGCCACTTGCTGACGGATGGGACCGCTGTGCAGACAACGAAGTATTTATGTTGGACATGCCGGAAGAACAATGCCTGGGAACCTCCTCTGGGCAGCAGGAAACGGCTGCTGTAACATTTCATGCTCTTACAGAAGCTGAGGCAACTGTAATGGAGCGTTACCTAGGTTTGAAGCAAGGACCTACAACTTCGCAAGTTCTCCAAAGAAATCCAAAGTTCAAGTCACTCTTCGACCAGCTTGGTTTTCGACCTCAGGCAAGGGAAGCAGCTGTTGTAGCTCTCATGAACATTTCTGCAAAATCTAATCCCCATTGCTTCGCCGCTCAACCCTAAAGGTCATTCTTGGGAAATGATAATGCTATCGTTTTCATGGATGAAGACATGGAGGTCCCATATCCGGATCACAGGAGGCCACTTTATTTGGAGGGACAAATCAACGATGTATTTATAAGAAAGCTTTGGTAGACACGGGTTCCTCTGTCAACATATTACCCTTGTCCGTGCTTACAGTAGCTGGCATTCCATTATCCAAAATTGTCCAATCGTAAACAAGCATAAGTGGTTTCGGGAACAAGAGTGAAGTCACAGTCGGGCACATGCAAGTAAATTTGAAGGTTGGACCGATTCGGTCACTTACTAAGTTCTATGTCGTAGATGTAGATGTGGCTTATCATGCTTTGCTTTCGAGGCCATGGCTTAATAAGCATAAGCTTGTTGTCTCTACTTATCATCAGTACATGAACGGAAGGATTGGGCTAAGGCCGCTACGAATACCCGGAAATCAAGCACCGTTCAACAAGAATGAAGCTCACTACTCTGAGGCGGAGTTTTACACTGAATGCATAGGTGCTGGAAGAAACCCGTCCAAGGATTTCGGGACTTACCTTCCTTCGTGGACTGAAATTCGTGATCTAAGCAACGAGGAGCTCATCACCATTATGGACCGAGAAAGAAAGAGACACTCGAAGGTCAACAATCATGCCTATGATCAACCTCAATGCTCGAAAGTGACGCTTCTCGATGGGCGCACAGTGTACTGCTTATGACGAGATTGGGTGCTCGACTGAGTTCTGCGGGAAAGCCCCGAGTATGCAGGAGAAGCAATGCAAGCTGACAACTGCAAAGATCCAGATAACAAGGCACCTCTGCCTTGTGCCTTTCAGGAACCAATGATAGCGCCTAAGCACATGCAAGATGGTTCAATGGCGGTAGCCGAGCAATTGGAAACAATCAACTTGAGTGATGATCCATTGGTCCAGAGACCCATCTCCATCAGTGCTCACTTGGCAAAGGAAGAAAAGGAAATTTTGGTGGCTTTGTTAAAAGAATTTCAAGATGTGTTCGCTTGGAGCTACGATGAAATGCCCACACACTGAATATTGAGCTAGGTACCAAGCCTGTTGTACAGCCAAGGAGGAATTTTCATCTTGAAATCGAAAAGCAAATCAAGGTGGAAATTGAAAAGTTGCTAGCCGCAGGATTCATCAAACCAATCAAGCACCCGACATGGTTGGCAAACATTGTTCCTGTCAAAAAGAAGACTGGAGTAATTATAGTATGCACGGACTACTGAGACCTCAACCGAGCTTGTCCAAAGGATGAATTCCCACTACCCAACATGGATATCTTGATCGATTCAACCTCAAGCCATGGCATGCTATCCTTCATGGATGGGTTTAGTGGCTACAATCAGATCAAAATGTCACCCAAGGATGCCAAGAAGACGGCCTTTCAAACACCATATGGGAACTTTTATTATACCGTCATGCCATTTGGTCTTAAAACCTAAGGATGTTCTTCTAAGGTTTATCAAATCTTTCAAGGACTCCTTTAGGAGTTTGGTTCCAGAACTCGGACACTTGGGGAATTTCTGTGCATTTTCTTCTTACGGCAGCCCAAGCCCATTCGTCAGGCTGCTGGAACAAAAAGACCCCTACACATATATATACAATCCAACTGCCAACATGTGTGTATATATACATTCTAACATTTAAATCTAAGTTCTAGGGCAGGTTATTAGAGCTATCACTAAGAAATTACAAAAGAAGTCAACTCATTTACAGAAGAGCCCTACATCACAATGGGGAAGCGCGGAAAGTGGGAACAGCCCTATGGTGGATCACTATGCACGCCAATTGCCTGGGGGCGCAAAACATTGAAAAATGTGAGTAGACCAAAAACAAAGTTTTTGAAAAATAACATAAGAACATACTAACCCCACTGTAAAAACAGTTATAAAAACTGAATCAACTTCCTCATATATACTCGTACTGAACTCATGCCTTCATATTTATACATATATTACCAAACATTAATCCTGCTGAAAGACATTGAAGTAAAGTTCAACCTACCACCTAGGTATACTTATTTGTTTTCGTCAATTCCCTTAATTACTATCTATTCCTCGTGTCACCGTGGTGACACACCCTCGCAGGATTCAGGTTAGCCTGATCCGCCCTCCTCGCAAGACTCAAGGGACACTAGTTAAGCATACTGACTTAATCGAAGACAATACTTAAAATACTTGGTTACCTAAGGCGATTAAAGAAAACATAACTTCCTAGAAGGTTTGGAATAAATAAAACTAACTCTTCTAATCTTAGAACTCTGTTGCCATCCTATCCGATTTCTAAAATCCTTATTTTCACTATTCTTTAGGTACTCTCGTCTCGGCAGCAAATAAATAAAATACTTAATCTTAGCAACACATGCTTGAAAGCCCTCGATCTATTGCATACTTATTCAAGATCAAATAATGAATTTAAATTGCATAAAACCATTTATGAAAGCAAAGGTCCACTCACTCCTGGTCCAAGCTAGCTGGACCACTTGAAGGTTCTTCCTGCGGGTCGGTCCAAGCTCGTGTGCCTGATCAAACCATCATGAATATTTAATTAATAAAACTGCTCGTTATAAGTATTTAATTAAAACCCTAACCCCCCGCTCCTAGAAGTGTGTGCACTAACTTTAGAATCGTTCATATGCCCACAAAAGCTTTCCTTACATTTGGAATGGTTTATAAGTGCCTCAGGACTCAACAAAACGCTAAAGTCCCAAAAGTCAACCCGGGACCCCGTAGGTCCTCAACCTCTAAATTCTTATCCGGAAGCTCCTAGAGGTTCTAATATACCTAGGACACATGTCTTGAAAGTTTGATCTCGATCGGACTGTCGAACAAATCACGATCGTACAAATCGGCGGTTCCTAGGGTTGGCATTTTCGGAGTATTCGGGGCTCCAATTTACGATTCGTCGAATCCTATATGATCCTGGAAATATATAAATCAACATATCTGAAAATGACTACGATCGAACAGCTCAAACGTACCGAACCCTGAAATAACACAACAGGCGATATCAGTTCGGGGTTCAAACGTTATCCAAATTGAAATCCGCGAGTACCTATGCGCTCGTAAGGACCAAGGGATCATTTTAGGACTGAATGCGGTCCCCACCATACTGCCCACGCTCCACCAAACGTGCTGGCAGCGCGTGGGCGGCATGATAAATTTCTGGTCGTCGAAAAAACTCCAAACTACCAAAGGTTATGGAGGTTTGGAACGATCGGACGAAAACAGGGGAGGGGAAAGACGCGGGGAGAAAGAGGGAGAGAAAGAGATAGAAAAGAGGTTTTCCTAAAAGATTTGCCTTGGCAAATTACCATTTTGCCCCTCCGCGTATTTTAGTCGTATTTTCTTCGTTAAAAACCCGACTCGAGCCCACTACGTGTCTACAGACTCATTCTGTCACGCACTACGCAATGGTGCAAGCGGAATTTCCAAATTCCTTCCCAGCCAAAAAGTCAACTTTTCCTTTAATAAACTATTCTCTCTAATAATTAAATATTATTATTCAAGGACCGGGTTATTACAGTTCCGCTCTATCGATTGATGGTAGTATAAGAGATCTGTAACTCCTTGAAATTATTTACTTAATGGTTCCTGCTTCCTACCCATAGTTAGCATGTATCGCCCCGGGTCATACTTGAGTATCACATCATAGACCCCCACCCCAACTCCAACTTCCTTATCAGTGAACTTGAAATAGTGCATAGGTACTCTTCAATGCAAGCAGGGACAAGAAGATGTGACATACTACGATGACGTATAGAAGTGCTGCCCTTCGGCTCGGTGATATGGAACCTCTCAACAACTCCCGTTCCTTTATGAGGTCGTATCGGGATAGGTAGGCCCAATCCTTTCCCCTCCCTCTCCCTCTCCCTTTGGTCGAGCTAGTTTACTCCCTCTATAAGACCCTATTTATCTTTTCCCCTCGAGAGCGTTCCTGCGCCACAACCGTAGCTCACTCTCTCCCTTGCAATTGGAATCTTGTAAAATCAAGGATTTTCTCAAACATTGCATTCAAGATAAGAAACAAAAATACTAACCTGAATACTTTTCCTTTCTTATGTTCGACTCCTGTAAGGGAGTCTCACTCTCTTTCAGTTTATTATAAGGGTTACTTATTCTTGTTCTCGTACTCCTTAATACCGTTCGGCTCCTATCGGGGAGCCTCACTTGCTTACAGGTTTTTCAAGGAGTTATTCTTAGGATAGTTAGTCGGAATACTATTCCTTTCTACCGTTTGACTCCTGTAAAGGAGTCTCACTCCCATTCTGATTACTTAAAGCTATATATTCATTTTGACAACGGCAATACACATTGGGTCATTCACCCACTCCCACTTGGGTGTCCCTTCCACCTACGCTTTTTGAGCTAATGAAAATATAATGTATTTATGCTAATGTGTCTAACAGTACATCTCTTATTGAAATGCCGTTCGGCTCCTGTTAGGGAGCCTCACTACCGTTCCATTTACTCTTCATATGAGGATGTTGTAGTTACCGTTCCTACATTTCTTTCCTTCTATTAAAGTATCGTTTGGCTCCTATCAGGGTAGCCTTACTGATAGGAGCATATTTATGTGACCTTGCTATCTTAATTCTTTGAATTTACTTAGTTAATTCCCATTTATTAGAGAGATTTTGCTTATTTTCGTACTATTGTAGGTCCAGATGGCAAGATTGGCAAGAAAGGGCATTTTGGAGTATTTTGGAGCAGTTTTGGACTTGGAATGGATAGCATATACATGGGGCAAGATAGATGGACGTTTTTGAAGTTCAAAGAGGCTAGGAATGTGCTAAAGGATGGGGAAATTAATTCAAGAATCAGCTTCTGGGAAGAAACAACCCTAACTGATTTTATTTTATTTTACCTTATCCTAATCCTATTCTACCTAAATTCCAGCAAGAAAGAGGGGGATTAATTTCAGATTAGGAAACCTGAAAACCTGGTTCTAGAAGAAAGCATTGGGCCACACCTCTTTCCTAGAAAGGTGGCGCCTGGGCCCTATCCTTGTTCCTAAAGAAATCTGCCAAACAAAACCTTAATTTCTAGGGTTTCTGCTGGGCCCTTTTACCCTAGATTTACCACATATATAAAGGAGGGGTTGCCGCAGGAGAAAGGAGTTTTTGGGTGCCGTAGCGAGAAGGAGAAAGAGAGAAGAAGAACTTGGAGCCGGAACCTGCTGCATCCATTGGGGTTTTTCAGAGTTCTTCCCTTGATTAGTTTAAATGTTTATTCTAGATTGCTTTTCAATTATTATGAAAATGTGTGACTGAATTTCTTCTTAGTTAGAGGTGAATTTGAAGCCATGGACATATGTTTTATATGAATTGATTACTTCCAGTTATGCTTTCATAAAGTATGAATGTGATTTACTTTTTTGTTTTATTGAGGACTTATTCTTGCATGTTTATTAAGGATGCATACTTAGTTTGTATGCAGGGATTTGATGCTAGAATATAAGGGAATTTCACCTAATCATTATGAACTTATATTCACAAGTAGTAAAAGTCACTAGTCATGATTGCGTTAAGTAAATTCCTGGCAGGAGTATCATGCTTTTCATAGTTACAATTGCCCTGTCAAGGCTTATGATTTTCATAGAACTTAATGATCTTTGATATGTATCTCTATCATGTTGTTCATATAGGGAACTTGATAAGGATAATTTGATTGCGTCGCTGAGTCCAATTCAATGAACTTAAGAAAATCTGAGAGTTAATTAGTGCATTCACAATTAATTTGGGGCTTTGTCATTCATACTTTTATAGAAAGAGTAACTGGAGATCGATTTGTGTGCATATGTTCCATGTGTGGAGAAGAATCCTCTAGCTATCCCTTAATCCATATTTTATTCACAACTTAGTTGTTTGCTGCTGTCAGTTCTACTTTAGTCTAAATCGTCCAAATTCCCCCCAATCATTGTTCCCTTAACTTAGTTTCCAGTTTAATAAGTTTAATTTGTGTTGATTAGCATCCCTCCTAATTCCCGGAATAGAACGATCCCTACTTACTCGTACTACGATTGCATAA